GTGACTCTCCGGGTCTGCCTGTGATCCGGGTCCATCGGAGCCCGGCACGGTCTGGGGAGGGTCTGTGACTCTCCGGGTCTGCCTGTGATCCGGGTCCATCGGGGCCCGGCACGGTCTGGGGAGGGTCTGTGTCTCTCCGGGTCTGCCTGTGATCCGGGTCAGGCAGAGAGCTGTAGGTCTGTAGCCGTACTATCCGGGTCCGGTCTGAGGCCGTGGGACCGGAGCGCCGTCCACACCCTCACACGGGAGACGGATTGCGGCGGAGACGGCCTCCGAACTATACATCAGCCATCAATGTGTTCGTGTGATGTTCACAGGCTGAGGTAAGTAGCAGTACCGTCCGGCATCGGCAGAGGAAGCGGACCAGAACCAAAGGGCAGACACCAGCGTTGGAACTTGGAACCACACCAGCCAGGCCCCAGACAGCCGACTCAGACAGTATAGTTGTCGGAGGCTGGACACGGACAGTGGACAGCCGGCCTGTGCGGGCAGCAGACAGCAGACAGTCCTCAGATGGCGGACAGCCGGTGCAGACAGAGGACAGCCGACCCAGACAGACAGACAGTCATCAGACGGTGCAGACGCCCCAGACAGACAGTCATCGGACGGTGCAGACGCCCCAGACAGGACGTGCCGGCCCGGCCGTCAGACGGCGGACGTGCCTGCGGCCGCGCCGCGCCGCCGCCGCCGCTCTCCCACGATCGACGACCCACCCGCCGCCACCGTCCGGGACCGGACCTGCCCGCCCGCCGCCTCCGTCCGGGACCGGACCAGCCCGCCCGCCGCCTCCGCCCTACATGACGGGCGAGTCTCTCTTCCCGTATCACCCAGACCTTATCCACATGTCTCATCTCTTTGTCCGCATATTTCCAAACATTAATTAATTCTTACCTCACACAAATATTGTTTCAGTCCAAGTCATATCGGAAGCATCGGAAGATGAAACTCGCGATCGTGTGCTTGCTCCAAAAGTTTGCCGAACTTGCCACAAAGACTGGCGGAAGTGCGCTGTACGGCCCTAGTCAATGTCATTTCACCCCGCTGAGCAGGAACGGAGTAGTCCGAGGACCGACGCAGTGGCGGCCCCGGGACGGCGCAGTGGCGGCGCGGTCTGACGCAGCAGCGGCGTGGTCTGACGCAGCGGCGGCGGGAAGAGCGGCGCAGAAGCCGAGGACAGCGCAGTTCCGAGAGCCGCCGGCTGCCGGCTGTCGGCTGCGTCCCACCTCTGTTCGTCCGAATTCCGAGAAGAATCGCCGACCGTCGGGCCGCCACGGATCAAGGTCAGCCAGAGGTCACCGAGCCGACAACGGAGAGAGGAAGGGAGAGGGATAGAGAGGGAGGAGCGAGAGAGAGAGAGAGAGAGAGAGAGAGAGAGAGAGAGAGAGAGAGAGAGAAAGAGAAAGAGAAAGAGAAAGAGAAAGAGAAAGAGAAAGAGAAAGAGAAAGAGAAAGAGAAAGAGAAAGAGAAAGAGAAAGAGAAAGAGAGAGAAGAGAAGAGAGAGAGAGAGAGAGAGAGAGAGAGAGAGAGAGAGAGAGAGAGAGAGAGAGAGAGAGAGAGAGAGAGAGAGAGAGAGAGAGAGAGAGAGAGAGAGAGAGAGAGAGAGAGAGAGAGAGAGAATGGGAGAAATCAGAGGAAAAGCGGTCAGTCACGCAGAAGACAGACAGACAGACAGACAGACAGACAGACAGACAGACAGACAGACAGACAGACAGACAGACAGACAGACAGACAGACAGACTCAGAGACAGACAGAAAGACAGACCACAATTACTCCCGCAACGAGCGTCGATTCTGGCGGCAGTACCGCTCATTTTCTAAAAGCCTCTTTTCCAATTTTCAGAAAGCTTCATTACAGATAGTGTCCCTCATCGGAAAAAGGTAACTGATGTTCGAGATTAGTCCTTGACAATCGGACATGCATATCTTTAGTTTTGTATGACGGACAAAATGGTCTGAAGCCTTGTAATGTTTTTCACATATAGGTAACGGGCCTACACAGGTGGGGAGATAGAATAGAAATAAAATAGAAAGGGGACTGGGGAGGAAACAAGGAGGAAAATTTAAAAAATCGCTCCACTCTGTACAGCTCAGTTGCGTATTTGACGTTTATATGCTGCTGACGCTCTGCCACGCCCTACACCCATACAGCTGCCCCGGAGCGGACCGAGAGTCTGCTCCGGTGCTGTGCCAGCGGCCATTTTAGTCCGTCACCGCCAAATAGGCCGCGCCAGCACCGCACAGATCCGCGCAAAAACGGGCCTGCCGCGGCGGCACCGGCGCGCGGCTTTTTGTCGCGCCATTGTGCCCGCTCGCCGGTTCGTTCACCTCTCCCCAATGTCCGCCAGCAAAGGTCACAGCGACCGGCGAGACCCTGATTGAGAATGACATACCCGAAATCAGCGAATGCTAAATTCTTCATAGAAACTGGTGTTATTTGACGAAGCCGCACAAGCTAAAGGTGCGGTAGCCAGCCATCAACAAAATCAAGTCAGTTTGCGTGTTCTAGTGTTCATACAGCTTTGCAAAAAGTTTGCAATGCACAAGCATACATTCTAACGGCAGCTCCAATGCCCACCGCCAGTAATGGGATGTCGCCACACCAGCGCCGCTCTGCCCCTCTTGGCGTAGGTCGAGGCCCGGCCGGCCACCCCAGGCGGCCGCGCGGGCCAGGGCAGCGGCGCAGGACGCTAAGCAGCTCCAGTGGCTAGACGGCGGCCGCTCCGCCGCGTCTGACGCCGCCAAGGCCGCTGTGAACCCGCCGCCGCGCCGCGCCGCGCCGGACAGTTCAAGGGCGGAGGACGCTCTGCGGGCCGGCGACGGACGCTCTCCAAACCGCTCGGCGTGCCGGCCGAGCTGCTGGAATGTCAGTCGGCGTTTTTTGCCGACCCGGAGCGGACGTGTCCGCTGGTCCGCGGTTATAATGAGGTGGCGGGGAGCGACCAAGCTGCTCGGAGACCGGGGGTTCGTGATAAACTGCCACTGCCTGGGTCGGGGCGGCAGAGCCGTGAAAGGTTTATGGTCCAGTGTCGGAGGCCGAAACCGAGTGCCTTTCAGTCGCCGTCTGAAGACCCTGTGCCGAGCAGTGCGACAGATAATGATCCGTTATCTACCCATTAGGGGGACACTGACTAATCCATTGTCTATCCCGTCCAGTGCTGTGAGACGGATACAACGTCCTTCGACCACTGACCCTCCCTTCCAATCGACTGGGTGGAAGGACAGCGATACCGACACGTCCTTTCACAGGCCGCCGAACCACCCGCCGCCGTCCAGCGGGCGATCCCAGTACGGCATCAATAAAGGACATTTATAGACATCCCTTCCAAACCGGCTGATCACTGACAGGTGATGGCGGACGGTACAATTCAATCATATTCGGTCATGAACTAAGCCATGTTTCCAAACATGTGAGCTCAATGTGCACTGTCTCGGAGCTTAGTTATCTGGTTGAGTTGGATGTCATATGACTCGAATGTCTAAAATGCCCGGCGAGTGCCGGGCCTCTGGTCTAGCCTGACGGCTTCATTGAGCCGGGGTCAGGCGCCCGACCACTCGGCGGCGCCCGGGGCTGACGTCTCGCCGTCCAGCGGCAGACCAAGGCTCGGCGCCGACCCGCGAGGTCACCGCGGCGGCGGGCGGACCGGCGGCGGCGGCGGCGTGTCGCACAGGCGGCCCACCGCGCCAGGCGGGCGGCGGCCAGCTCGGCGACAGAGCACGCGTGCCGCCCCCGCCCCCGCCCCGGCCCCGTCCGCAGCCAGACGGGGTCGACCGACCACGTGGCCGCCGGCGGGGAGCGGGACACCCTCGCCGGGTCACCTCGCCGGGTCAGAGGGGGCACAGCGCCGGGTCTGACGGGGAGCAGCGGAGTCCTCGGTAAATCGGGGCACCTCGCCAGGGTCACACAGAGAGCACCTCGAAGGGGTCAGACGGGCCACAGAAGACAGACTCGGGACAGGCATTCAGCAATGAGAAAGGGGAAGGAATAGCCGACGTAACAGCCCACCAAAGGCCACTTTAAAGCTGCGCACGATTATGATCCACGGTCAGAGTCGACAATGAAAGACAAGCACACTGACCAATTGCAGGCGCCAATTGGAACAACACTATTTCGATTTTTCGAAGCACAACATTTCTTCAGTATTCGTCTCCGAGAACAGATGGAGAGGGTTGCAAATGTCGGAGACAAAATAAATGACAGCCCGTGCGTTGTGTTTTTCATCAATGTTTTTAATGCAGATATCCAGTTTCGGACGGTCCCTGCGCTCCGATCGTTCACTGTGGCGCTACCCTGCCCGACGGCCTGGGTTTCCGCCCGCCGTTCACACACTCTCCGCACGCCAATCAGGCCGGCCGGCCGACCCAAACGCTGTCTGGCACCACATCCGGCCCGCGCGCTACGTAAAAACCCAATGCATCGGCCCCGGTTTTTGCACGGTGCAGGTAAAAACGGCGAGAGGGGCGGCCGGCGCGGCCCAGATCTGCCGGTGACGCCGCTGCCGGCCGGCCGTCCTAGTCGGTCTCTGGTCATCCTTTGTTTGAAATGGCGAACAGAGAGAAGAGTGACGAACCGAGACACGATGAGCGAATAAACGTGCTCTCACATGTGTTTTAGATTGTGCAATGCCCATGCATGCTTATCGCCGATTTAACTTGTGCAAAAGTATACTTCAGTTCTGACAATAATCCGCACAGCTCGTCAATAATTAGAATGCCAAATGGGTCCAAGAAATATGCCATACGACTTCAATGTCATGAAAATTTACCCAAACCAATCACGAATTTTGTGCTCAACAGAATCTCAATACAAATCGTTGGAAGCTATAAGCTAGCCAACTGGATCAACAGATGCACAGGCATTTGCAGAGGCCGCTGCGCAGCTGTTGACGTGTTCCCTAGTGCTGGCCGGCGGCGGGCTGTGACCCCCGGCCGAGGGCGATGCCCCCTTCTACCCCCCCCCCCCGGCGGGCGGGCTGTGACCCTCCGGCCGCCGCGGGACTGACCTTGCTGAAATAGCCGACCACGTGGCACCCCTCCGAGTCGGCCACAGTCATCACGTAGAACAGGAACGGCTCGACGTCGAAATACAGCGTCTTGTTGTCCAGGAACAGCTTGGCGAGGAGGCAGAGGTTCTGGCAGTAGGACTTGAACCGGCGGCCGTCCACCTCAAACACAGAGAGAGCGTCCTTCCTGAGGGCGGTGGAAGAGAGGGAGGGCGTGAGTGGGTGGGTGCGTGGGTGAGTGAGTGAGTGAGTGAGTGAGTGAGTGAGTGAGTGAGTGAGTGAGTGAGTGAGTGGGTGAGTGGGTGCGTGCGTGCGTGGGTAAGTGAGTGTGTGAGTGAGTGAGTGAGTGCGTGGGTGAGTGAGTGTGTGAGTGAGTGAGTGAGTGAGTGAGTGAGTGAGTGAGTGGGTGAGTGGGTGAGTGGGTGCATGGGTGAGTGGGTGCGTGGCTGAATGGGTGCGTGGGTGAGTGGGTGCGTGGCTGAATGGGTGCGTGGGTGCGTGGGTGGAAGAGTCGGAAAGATAGACAGGCGACAGACAGATACATGGTTTACGCGTTTTGGAAAACTCAGCGCAACGAAACTCCACTGTGTTAGCACGGTTTTGTTAAGACATCAAGCCCTACTTATCAATCAATAGCTAGTAAACAAGCAAGATGAATGATGATATTCATGTCACCAGTCACCCTTTGCCATACCCAAAACCACCGCCGACCCGCCACACAGAGCCCCTTATCCCGTGCGCCGTGCGTCCCTCGACACCGCCGCCAGCGCCACCTACCTGTAAATCTCATCGCCCGGCGGGAAGCGCCACACACACTTGGCGTTGTGCCGCTCGAGCGAGGTGCGGCAGCGCAGGTACTTGAGGCAGTACTGGCAGATGAACATCTTCGAGCCGCGCGCAGAGTCCTCTGGGTACGGCGACTGGTACCACACCTCCATCTCGAAGCGGCCCATCTCGATCGAGTGCAGGCCCGGCGTGTCGGGCAGGTTACGCAGGTTGTCCTCCTGCCGGGACGGAGGGCGGACGGCTGTGATGTATACTGCTGTATTGGTGAGGGATTAGCAGACACAGACAGGCAGACACAGGCCCGGCGTGTCGGGCAGGTTACGCAGGTTGTCCTCCTGCGCGGACGGTTAGCTGTGACATATCCTGCTGTATTGGTGAGGCGTCAGTGGGGACAAACTGCTTAACTACCGACCAATTAGCGCGTACATATTACCCGCACCGGACCACCCACCGCGCGCCCGCGCTGCACCCGGCACTCACGATCTGGGCGCTGGCGGCCGCCTGCGCCTCCCTGAACAGCATCAGGTCGTAGCTGGGCGCCAGGTTGTCCAGGTCGATCTCCCGCGACCGGTCATCGTCTATCACCTCGGGCTTTCGGTCCATGTTCTCTGCGGGGTCAGAGGGGTCGCAGCGGTCAGAGGAGGTAGGTCGGGACGGAACAGGGCAGGGAGACCGCCGGCCGAGCTGGCAGCGGGCATATCCTGACCAGCAGTAAAGACGAGGTCAGCCCTTCCAAAGGTAATATGCATCGCGCTACGTTCAACAATATAGCCTGCTCGAATAAAAGCTCCGCTTAATAACTTCACAACACACACGCTGCTGAGCACCCGTTACTCCCAATGAAATAAAGCTCACTTGAGACTGACTGAAACCACTTTCCCATTCATCAGAGACCCCTGCAGCCCCTACACCTACTCCCCCTACACCTACTCAGCGAAGAGTCGGCGGACCGCTACCCTGAACGCACGGCTCTCGCGAGATTAAGCGGTAGGTTTTGCACTTTTACATTTCCGGTTATATCTCAGAAACTAATCGATCCACGATGAAGCCATTTTACACGATCATGGCCAGCTTGTGAACCAACAAGTCGATCGCATTTTCAACACTTAAAAGCTTAAGACGACGAAGATATAGCCTGAAGTACACTACATTTTCTAGGTGCAAAACCTACCGCTAAAACCAGCGAGACCTGCACCTGTCGACTGCCGAGCGTGGATCCCTCCCCCGTACCTGTCGACTGCCGGACATGAATATCTGCCCTGCCTGTACCTGTCGACGGATCCCAGCCCAGTACCCGTACCTGTCGACGGATCCCTGCCCAGTACCCGTACCTGTCGACGGATCCCTGCCCTGGGGGTACCTGACTGTCGTCGGATATCTACCCGTACCTGTCGACTGCCGGGCGTGGATCCCTCCCCAGTACCCGTACTTGTCGACTGCCGGCGGACCCCCACCCGTACCTGTCGACTGCCGTTGGATCTCTACTCCTACCCGTACCTGTCGACTGCCGTCGGATCTCTGCCCCGTACCCGTACCCGTACCTGTCGACTGCCGCCGCTGGCCGGTGATGCGCGACACATAGCTCTTCTGCTCGGGAGTCACCTGGCCGCTGCGGTATTTGTTGAGCGCCTTCTGGCGGTCCGAGGCGCGGATCTCACGCTCCAGCTGGTGGTCCTGGGAGGTCAGGTCAGGTCAGGTCAGGTCAGGTCAGGTCAGGTCAGGTCAGGTCAGGTCAGGTCAGGTCAGGGCAGGTCAGCAACAACACAGCTGACAAGTCAGAGTTTCAATCTGAGCCAGGTGAAGTGTAGCGTGACGCAAGGATGAATGTGAGCCGTATAAGTGTGAGTCAGCTTCAGCGTCGAGCTGTGAACCGGTGACCCAGCGTTGGTCATAGCCGCCGGCATCTGATGCCGGCAGGGCCGAGTTACACCCTGCAAGTAGCTGGGCCGGGCATGACGTATGGGAGCATGATTGGCTGGTTATGATGTGAGATATATGACGTATGACAGCGCGATTGGTTGGTGATGATGTGAGATGTGTGTCTGCGAGCTGTGGATGTGCCAGGAGGGGGATTGTGAGTTTAGTTGGCTGGAAGGTGTAGACGAGAGCAGAATAGATCTTCTTCTTGTGCTGGACGGTGACTTTTAAGTCAGTACGACAAGCTATTTCGGCCTTCTCGACTAAGTGTTGTGATTATGTCTGACGTAGAAGAGGGCAGTGGTGCACCGGTAGCTGGTACCAATACCATGGAACCAGAGTTTCCTGCGCCTGCATTCGATCTGCGGGCAATACCGGAGTTCGACGGCAGCGGTGACGTCGTCAGATGGCTGGAGCAGGCGACACAGCTGTGTGCCCTGCGTCGTGTGTCACTGGCCGCTGTCATACCCACACGCCTGAGGGACCAGGCGTACGAGGTGTGGGCCACCCTCTCCTCCACCGAGCAGCGGGATGCTGCAATCGTCCGCCAAAAACTGCATCGTGCATTTGCATTGGGACCCGACGCGGCTATGTATGAGCTGTATCACCGCCGTCTACAACCGGGCGAGTCTGTGGATGCCTACCTGGGATCAGTCAAGCGGCTGATATCCCTCATAGGTTCAGTGTCCAACGAAGTGATGACGACGCACTTCCTGCAAGGTCTGCCGCCGGAGGTGCGGCTAACAGTACGTAACAGTGCTGGAGATGAAACTCTCTCCTTGGAGCGAGCCGTCGCCGTCGCTAGGTCAACGTTGGCGATGGCGGCCAGGGAGAGAGCGACTGCATCGGTGGCTGTCGTCCAGCCGCCGCCATCATATGTACAGCAGCAGCGGGGAGCCAGAGGGACGGGTCGCCGTCCACCACTGCGGTGTTGGACCTGTAACCAGGTAGGCCACATCGCCCGGCTCTGCCCAAACGGGCACGGCGACGGCGCTACATCAGCGCCACGGGCTCCGCCGTCGCCAGCTGCCGCAGTGACCCAAGAGCCCCCATCATCGACATCAATGTAAATGGGCGCAAGTGCCGAGCACTCGTCGACACAGGGTGCAGCGAGACAGTGGTGTGGAAGGGCATGGTGTCCTGCTGGGAGCGGAGTGACGCCAGCTTGGTCGCTGTCAACGACAGCCCGGTGCTGTGCTGTGGGCGGGCTGTGGTCAGCCTTGGAGTGCGCGGGGCGACAGTGAGTGTGCGGGCGGTCGTCGTACCGGCCCGGTTGCTGGGCGTAGACGTGTTGCTGGGCATGACCGGCATTGACGCCCTGCAGGGCGTGAGTGTAAGTGGAGGATCCGTTCGCTTCGGGAGCGACAACCCAGTTGCGAGCGTCGACACGGCTGCTGTGGTGCAGCGTGAGGCCCCGCCGGAGCGGGAGGTGTGTCGAGCGGTCGACACGGCTGCTGTGGTGCAGCGTGAGGCCCCGCCGGAGCGGGAGGTGTGTCGAGCGGTTGACACGGCTGCTGTGGTGCAGCGTGAGGTCCCGCCGGAGCGGGAGGTGTGTCGAGCGGTCGACACGGCTACTGTGGTGCAGCGTGAGGCCCCGCCGGAGCGGGAGGTGTGTCGTGCGGTCGACACGGCTGCTGTGGTGCAGCGTGAGGTCCCGCCGGAGCGGGAGGTGTGTCGAGCGGTCGACACGGAGCCGGAGCTAAGGATTGACGAGACTGACTTCACGGCTGTGTTCGATGATGTGTGGACAGTCCGTTGGAAATGGGCCGGTGGCGTGGCTCCGCCCCCGCTTGGAAACTCGATAGCTCAGTACGGTGTGCCGAGTTGTGCGCGTGAAAAATTCGATGCAGAGCTGGCGCTGTGGATTAGTGAGGGCTGGCTGCGCGAATACGATGAGACGATGTACGGTCCCGCACAGGGATTGATCCCGTTGATGGTGGTTACTCAGGCAGCGAAGGACAAGGTGCGGCCGGTGTTAGATTATCGGGAACTCAATCAACACCTGACACGTCACACAGCCGACGCTGACGTCTGCGTGGAAGAGCTGCGAAGGTGGCGACGTCACGGACGCCGGGTCGCTGTCCTGGATCTGAAGAAAGCTTTTCTTCAGCTTCGTGTGGACCCGGCCCTGTGGCCGTACCAGACAGTCATCGTGCAAGGGCGGCGGTACTGCCTGACCAGGGTCGGCTTTGGGCTCAGTATCGCGCCTCTGATCATGAAGGCTGTGGTCAGGAAGGTGCTCGCACAGAGCCCCGGGTTGGCAGAGGCAGTGCTGCCTTACGCCGATGATCTGCTGGTCAACGAAGCGGTGGTCTCGGCTGATGAGGTTGCCGAGCACTTCGCTCGATTCGGGCTCACATGCAAGCCGCCGGAGCGGGTCGCGACCGGTGCACGTATGCTGGGCCTTCGTGTCGCCGAGAGCGACGGGCCGGCACTCCAGTGGAGTAGGGACGGGGAGTCACCAACGCAGGCTCCACCCGTGCTAACGCGGCGATCTGTCTTCGCGTGGGCCGGCCAGCTGACATCTCATGTGCCGGTCGCAGGCTGGCTGCGGCCGGCCGCTGCATGGATGAAGCGGACTGCCAACCGCCTCAGCCCGGACTGGGACACTCCGATCGTCAGCGAGGAGCTACAACGTGAGGTGGATGAGGTGTCACGGCGGTTTCGAGCATGTGACCCGGCACGCGGCCAGTGGTGTGTGACAGGGACGAGCGTCGTGGTGTGGACCGACGCCAGCTCCATCGCCCGCGGTGTCGTGCTCACTGACCCTGACACGGGCGCCATCATCGAGGACGCGTCCTGGCTGCGTGCCGAATCGGAGAGGGACGTGCACATCAATATCTCAGAACTGGATGCCGCTCTCAACGGTGTCAACCTGGCGGTAGCATGGGGCTTCCGTCGCCTGACGCTCCGGACAGACTCGGTGACGGTGCACCGCTGGCTGAGTGACGCGCTGTCGGGTAAGGCAAGGCTGCGAACCAAGGCGCAGTCCGAAATGCTTATCCGACGGCGCGTGGCTGTTTTCCGTCAGCTCGTCATCGAGTACGAACTGGAGGTCACTATCGAGCTGGTCGCGTCAGCGGTCAACCGTGCTGATGAGGTGACGCGGGTGCCCAACGCCTGGCTGCAGACTGCCGACCAGCCAACCACTGATTCGTCCAAAGCACAACCGGTGGCTGTCGCTGCCATCACAAGTGCCTCAGCGAGTGACATCCGCACCATCCACGAAAACATCGGTCACCAAGGAGTGAGGAGAACGTTGTGGTACGCCCGACGTGAGCTGGGGGTGAGGCGGGTGTCAAAACCAGCTGTGCGAGACGTGGTCAGACGATGCCAGACGTGTGCCTCGATTGACCCGGCGCCGGAGCGCTGGCCCGGTGGGTCACTCGGAACAGAACGCACGTGGGATCGCCTGGCCATGGATGTCACCCACGTGCACGGCCACCCATACCTGACGCTGGTGGACTGCGGGCCGTCGAGGTACGCCATATGGCGACGGCTTCGCCGGGCAGGAGCTCTGGAGATTGTGAGTGAGCTGGAGAACGTGTTTCTAGAGCGTGGAGCCCCGGCGGAAATACTCACGGACAATGCGACAGAGTTCCGTGGCCGGGTCATGTTAGCGTTCGCGGCTCGCTGGGACGTATCCATCCGGTTCCGCGCTGCCTACGAGCCCGGCGGGAACGGCATCGTCGAGCGCCATCATCGTACCATCAAAGTGATGGTGGCCCGGCAGTCCTGCTCCGTTGCTGAAGCAGTCCATCGGTACAACGTGACACCGAAGGATGGCAGTGACCCGGCCACAGCTCCAATCAACGGGGTGCTTCGACACCCTGGCCGAGACGTTGACGTGACGCCCCGCAGAACCTCAGACGAGCCTGGTGACGCCCTGCCGCTGAAGAAACCCGGTGTATACCAGGTAGGGGACAAGGTGTGGGTTCGGCGGCGGGGCGACCGATGTTTTGTAAAGTCAGACGAGGGTATTGTGACAGGCGTCGTTTCGGCCCAGACAATCGAAGTCGATAATGTCCCACGACATGTGCGAAACCTCCGACATCGGTTGACCGTCCCTGAATGTCCGAGGCCAGGGGCTCTGCGAGCGCCAACGGTGGAGTGGTCTGATGACAGCGAGTGTGATGGCGTGTGTGTGTCGCCAGCTCCGAGTGATGTGACGGAGTCGGACACGCGGCCGCCCAGCGTTGCTCAGTCCCCGGACCCCGATCCACCGACCGGGTCCGATGTGTCTGCAGACGAGAGTGAAACGTTCGTGCCTGCGACGCTGCGGCGTGGTACGCGTGTTCGAAGAGAGCCGGAAAGATATGGCGATGGTGTGCCAGAGGATGTAGTTGATGCGTTGATTGAATGACATGTAACATGTAGAGTAATGTGGTTCTTCAGAACCAGGGGGTGATGTAGCGTGACGCAAGGATGAATGTGAGCCGTATAAGTGTGAGTCAGCTTCAGCGTCGAGCTGTGAACCGGTGACCCAGCGTTGGTCATAGCCGCCGGCATCTGATGCCGGCAGGGCCGAGTTACACCCTGCAAGTAGCTGGGCCGGGCATGACGTATGGGAGCATGATTGGCTGGTTATGATGTGAGATATATGACGTATGACAGCGCGATTGGTTGGTGATGATGTGAGATGTGTGTCTGCGAGCTGTGGATGTGCCAGGAGGGGGATTGTGAGTTTAGTTGGCTGGAAGGTGTAGACGAGAGCAGAATAGATCTTCTTCTTGTGCTGGACGGTGACTTTTAAGTCAGTACGACATGAAGATAGACGCATAGTCCAGCCAGGACATTAATGATGAAAAGGCAAGTCTAACCTTCACGGCGCATTATATGGCACATGACTTGGAAATGGATGATACCGAGTGGCCGGTGGCGTATCGCTGTGACCTGTACAGTGTACGTCTGTAGTAAGGAGTACTAGGGTGACCCGCGTGCTCCGCAACGCGAAAAGGGGTATTTTCGATTGACGGGTGTTTGGTTGTTCTTGTGTCGGTTTGGTTATCTATCCATTTCGGTCGACTGCTTTTTGATGGCTAAATGATTTGGTTTGGAAAGAATATCCATCGCATCGAGGTGCCCGTGTCTGATAAGCATGCTTTCTACTTCAGAACCTGTCAAATGTGTTTTATAATTTAGGTGCGTAGTTTTATGGCAAATGAAAGGCGTAGATAATTTTCGCTTAAAATGGTTTTACAGAGGTTTGAAACATTTATATTTTTAAGAGTACTGTTGCTTGTCATGCAAACGTGATGATTGGATCTTGAAGAGAATTGAATGCTCTTTCTAATGAAAGCATTTTAAATTGCCAAACGTATCAGGTTAAGCAACAAATCCCGTGTAATTATTTAGTGGCACATTATGGACAAATGCCATTTTCTTCAGCGATTTGTACCACCTTGTTTTTGATCAATGAACTTTTCACAATTTTTCCATGAGAGGCGGTACATTTCTCTTCCCAATAGGCATTGTTTTAACTCTCTCAGTCTGACGGTCACGTGAAAATAAAATAAAATCCAAAATCCGTCCAAAACGTCAATTTTTCAAACAAAAGTGCCCTCACGGGTGCACGTGGCGCGTGCCATCCCTGCACCGCACACCATTCGATAGCCCGTTCGATCCTCTACACGATGGTGTTTTCCCCGTGACGATCGGGCGCACGGTTACCGAGATATTGCACGGAAACCGGACCCGTGTCGGGCAAATTTAGCCATTTTTGCCCGATTTTGCAAGCCGATTTATACATGTAAAGTCTATGACGCGAATTTGCACTTTTTGGCCACGCGCCACGCGCTCGCTATCGACCCGATCGAGCTGAGACCTCTCAAAGGCACGTTGTCCATCCTTGCTCAATGAGTTGCGCAAATTTCAGCGCGCTAGGTGCAACGGCGTGACCTGTAATCCGCGCTACGTAGCACCACGTCGCGACCTCGGTAACAAACAGAAACTACGTCACCACAAATAGTAATATAGATTTAGTAGGGGAGGGGGACGGCCGGCGGCGTACCGCTGTGACATGTGCGTCTGTAATGCGGAGTAGTGGGGGAGGTAGGGACGGTTGGCGGCGTACCTTAGCCTGGGTGTCCGAAGTGCTTCGGGCCGGACCAGCGGTGCGGAATGGGGAGGGGAGGCAGGGGCACTGGGCAGTTGGCGGCGTACCTTGGCCTGGGCGTCCGTGGTGCGGTGGAAGACGGGACAGGCGATGCGGCTGAAGTGTCGTTCGTAGAGGCCGCTGAGGTGTCCCCTGCTGTCACAGCCCGGCACGGGGCACGAGCCCTCGCCCATGGTGGGCGGCCGCTGCGGCGGCGGCTGATCGGCGGCCGGCCGCGGCGGCGCCGGTCCGCTGCCCCCCAGACGCTTCTTCTTGCGCGGGCCCTTGGTGCCCTGCTGACTGTCCGCTGTGGAAGGGGACGGGACGGGGCGGCGGGATAGCTCACAGATCTCAGCACATCACAGCTGCTGCAAACCAGCCACATTCGCACTGTTCAGTCGTTCTTTTCTGTGCAGTCCTAAATGAGGACATTTATTAGCATAATCATGAGGATACTTAGCAGTTAACTGTGAGTAGCTGCCATGTTTAACACGCGCACTGCAGGGGGGGGGGGGTTGTTTTCAACCCCCCCCCCCCCCTGTGGTTTTTCGCAAATTGCGAGAAAACGGCGGCGCGTAGCGCCGCCAAATTTTGCATACCTGTTCTCACAACTTTTGCACACCTTGAGTAAAAATTTTGACCCCAGGTGACCTATGGTCAGGTCACCAGGTCAGGTCAAGTGACCCTACCTCGAAACGTAAATTTCGAAGTTTGCAATCCCACCAAGCCCACAGTTGTTGAGATATGATCTTGAAACCCACAGGAAATAGTAAAGTCATCACGAGCTACAATTTGTATATCTCGGAATTTTTATATCGATGACCTAAGGTCAGGTCATTTTTGCGACCGGCCCATTATAAGTCAATGGGAGAAATTTCAACTTACTCTGAATGCCATCCTATGACTTCAATACGCTCAGGATCATAGTATTACAGGTCCCTGTTGGTGATTTCACCGAAACATATCACTTATGACCTTTGGAAGGTGATCTCCAGGTCATCTTAGGTCACCTGAGGTCACCAGCGGTTTTTCTTCAATAACTTGAGATTGAGTAGAGATAGAGACTCCGTTCGACGTTTATCGTGTTTTTCTCGTCAATGCGGATCGAATGATATGCAACATGACCTATTTCGGTCAGGTCATGACCTTGACCTGAGGTCAAATTTTCAACTTGACCTTTCGAGGTCATATTATATATCATTCGATGCGCCTTGACGAGCTAAGAACGATGGCGTTCGAATCGATCCTCTGTCTTGTGTGCAAGACAAGTTATTCAAGAAAAACTACCGCGAAATTCCTGTTGTGAAAATCGTAACAATGTCTTCGGTGACCTCTGGTGACCTCGTTTTTGACCTGACCCAAAAATGATCTTAGTATTTCTTGTCGATTAACCTATCCAACGCCGTTTACCGCTTGTCGCTACGTTGCGCCGTTTTCGAGATCTCAGGGGGGGGTTTCAACCCCCTCCCCCCTGCAGTTCGTGTTCGGCTCAGACCCGCTGCAGTGCGCGTGTTAATCTCAGCAGCACGGGCTATGTGCCACACTGATCCCATCTCGACTAAATGCCCCGTGCCGGGCGGGTGGTAGTCCGCAGTATACCCACCACTCCCGTTTCCGACTCCGAGTCGGTGTTGTAGATGGCTCTGCAGCCCGCTCCCCTATTCCGGCGGCCGGCAGCAGGCACTCCCTACTCACCGGTCTCCGACTCCGAGTCGGTGTTGTAGATGGCGCTCCGCTTCAGCTGCGAGCGCGACGGCCGGGTGCTGCGCGTGCGCCGCCGCACCGCCTCGCTGTCCGAGGAGCCCGCCGCCGGCGTGGCCGAGCTGCCGGCGGCGGGCCGCGCAGGGGCCGCCGCCGCCGGCAGCCGGGTGGACGGCGCGGCGCCGCCATCGGGCTCCTCGGCAGCGGATGACGAGCCGCTGTCGGCGCCTGGGGAGCACAGCGCCGTCACATACCAGTTATCGGCACTCGGAAACAACGGGCCGCCAAATAATCAGCAGGAACACTGCACCGTCAGATATCAGACATCAGCACCGAGAAACACCGGACCGTCAGATATTAGCGCCGAGAAACACGGCACTGTGAAAATTATCAGCATCAGCACAGAGGAACACCGGAGTGTGCGATGTTAGCACTACGGAGCCGTCAGATATCGGAGGAAGCTCGCGGCCTGCCAGCACGTCAATTCACCGCTGGATGACGAAACATGGCCAGTCGAACACTTCACGCAACTTAGTGCTGCCCACTTCAAATAGTACGAAAATGGAATCGGTATCTAGTACCTACTTCCAGCGGAACCTCTCTATACTCAATGAATATCCAAACATGATTGGAGAGCCCTCAGCAGTCAGCAATCCGTCCCGGTAGGCTCAGCACACGTCCACAGCCGCGCGACTCGGCAGCGTCTCGCCGCCACCCACCTGAGCAGGCCCTGGAGGACGACAGCGACGAGTTTTTGGCCGGCCCGTTGGGTTTGCGGCCAGCCTTCTTGGGCGGCGCCTTGGCGGTCGGCTTGCTGGCCGTCTCTGGTTCGCTGGCGCTGCTCTCGTCCGGGCTGAAGATGCTCTTCTTGGCTGCCTTGGAGTCGGCGGCCGCCCGGCGCACCGGACTCTTGGGCGGCGCGCGGGCGGCGGTCGCCGAGGCGGCGGAGCGTCCCGCAGCTGACCCGGTGGCGGAGCTGGCCTTCCGGCTGGCGGACTTGGACTGCGCCTCGGACCTGTCCGCGCCAGAACCGCCACAGGTCAGCCACGGAAGCGGAAGGGTCGGGCGACGTGAAGGACCGGGAGAGATGAGGTCAGGGGAGTGACTTCATGAGCCAGGAAAGACTGGGATGGGAGCAATGAAGCAAACAAGGGCGACGAGTTCAAGTGCTTTCGATTTCATCCACAGACACCAAGATGTAAAGCCGCACTGCTCTGAAGCCTGAAGGTTAGGACAGGAGCACAAGCATAGCTGGGTGACAACACGGATTAACAAAAACGGCCACGTTGGCAACTGTTCCTGAAAACGCAACAAATGCAGGTGCCAGGCAGCCTTAATGAGCATCACTTCAATGACCTATGTATGTAGTGGACGTAGGGAATCCAATCTGTTTTGGTAGGAGTCGGACAAACTCCCATTGACCCAGTGAGCACGGCCGCACGCACCTGGTGGGTTTGGCCGGCGCGGAGCCGCCCGACGATTTGCGCCGTTCCGGCTGCGGTTTGGGGCTTTTGCCGGGCGAGCGGCGGGTGGAGCGCTGCGAGCCGGCCGACTGCTCCGTGTCGGACGAGGACGAGTCGGACGAGCTGCCGGAGCTGTCCGAGCTGGAGCTGGAGCTGGACGAGCTGCTGGACGACATGGCGGCACCTGGGACAGACAGACCTGGGGAGGGAGAGCCAGCGTTGAGACAAGAAAAAGGGATAAGGCAGACAGCAAGAGAGAATATGACAGTGGTGTCATTCATAAATAATTTCAATAACTATAAATGGGGTCATCTTTGCAATATCATAACCTGCCCTAGGGGGACAACAAAGTACAATAGTGTCAACTTCCAACAATATCTTGTTGGTGCTGGGTCTTTCATTTGCATATTTTCTGAGGTGTACTGCTTGCAGTCTGTGCTATTGTGAGGGCTGACCACCCTGCAGCACATCTGTTTCATGAAACCATGCATATTGCAGGCCACAGCGGCCATTAATCATGCAAACTCCTGATGCCTCCTTACTAGTGCAGTGGAGGCATGACAACATCTCAGCTAGATACTAGGAGACATGATAAGGCCAACATGTGACCATGTTGTCTTTCACCACAAACTAAGTGTTTGACCAAACCTGAAATCCAAATTTTGTGGCATGCATTTAGTAGCGAAATAACATAAGTGGGGACTGGTGGATGGAAGTTCCAGCCAGGCTGGTGTAGATTCATCACTCTGGCAGCCTGGCTGAACCACCTCATTCAGCTATACTTTTCCATCCAAACCAGGGGATCAGATATGAGATGATCTGATGATATGACAGGCCAGATGGAAGCAAGTTGATTTTAACTTAGTACCTAGTACCTACCTAACCTAACCTACCTACCTACCTAGCTCCCAGACTTGGGGTAGAGGCACTCCACCAATGTGCTGTATGGTGCAGTTTTACTGTGGTTTGTGGCAGATTTTGCTTGGAACTCTGTGGAACACCACATAGCACTGTAATGAACTGTTGTAATAGCCAAAATTAATAAAACGGATAGGTACCTACCTAAACAGGAAAGAAAATGAGGCAGGCCACAGACCTATCAAACTTTAATTTAAAGTATTTACATTTTGTGGTGAAAAATCTAGATATTTTTCAATATGGGCTGTTGTGGTCTTGCCCAATTTATCAACAAGCAGGTCACCTGAGGGATGTTCACTGGCACCATAAACTGAGGAGTGCGGTGTGTGCAGTGTGTGCAGCAGGCATGGGAGCAGGGGATAGATAGTCAGTATGACATCACACAGCTGCGTGTGGTGGATCACACACAGCCATCGCTGTGGCCGGCCCTGTCCGCCCACTGTATGCAGCAACGGAAGGCTGACGTAGGGACACAGTGGGATGAGCTTGGAGCCTGTGTACGGTCCTACCACACACAGGGCCCGTGAACAGCCCTCTTGGTGCAGCTCTGGGCTCGACAACTCGTTGCCGTGCTCTGCGGTCTGGCCTGGCCTGGCTCCTTGCCGCCAGATCAAGATCTGCTACCATCTATTACCAGTTGTTTATATCCTTACCTTACCTTACCAATACAGAATTTTGAGGCCTATAAGGCCTGTAGGGATCTGATCTCATCGAGCTCCTTACTAGAGACAGTCATGAATCTTGGGCTGGGATGTCAAAGGATGCATCACCCCAGTGAGAGTCGAGACGGGCTTTGAAGATATTGACAGACGTAGAGAGGACCACAGAGGCAGGAAGCGCATTCCAGTCGTTGATGGCGCGGACCGACAGAGTGTGTCTCCTGGGTCTTGAAGCAGCTTGAGGCTTCAGCAGCTTCAGAGCATGTCCTCTGGTGACAGATGAGTACAAATATATCGCAATATATTGTTAGCGATGCCCACAGCTTATTATATATTCATAATTGAAAACGAAACGACCAAACCCAGACACAAAACAAATCATTTTTACCTCCAATTCGAGTTACCCACTTCAAAAAATGCAAGACGCGATGCCGTTTCAAAGCATTAGGCGATGACCTGCTATGTTCGAAAACATTATTTGCTGTATGATATGTGAACGAAGTCGTACAAACTCAACGAGAACTCGTGCTGAACGTCAGTCGAAAACAGCACATCGATGTGTTTTGAACAGACTTTAAAAGGTGTTGCATAAGTGATTATGGTGGAAACGAAAAGCTGCGCTTTACCTAGCGGTTGTAAAGCTAACTATGAACTCACTGATTCTTTTACTAGTTTTTGTTAAGTTTTTGATTTTCAATGTATTAAAAAAAACCCTCTTATTAAATTTTGAAGGATTTTTTTGATTATAAAAACTGCTATCTTGCTCTTAAAAAATTGATACAAACAAAACTTTGCTGTCATAAATTGCTCTTGGCAAAAGTTAAGGGAAATCTTCTGTGCTTTCAAATATTGCGCGAAGGGGACAAAATGAAATTTCCACCAAGTTTTCATTGCTATCAGCCGTCCGAGAGAGCTGAGGCCTCTTGCACCAAACTACCTAGCTAGGTAAAATCGAAAAACCGGTTTCAGAATAAGCTAATCAAACGGTGGTAAATTTGTTTGCAATAGCCCAATACATAATCCTACAGGTGCTTGGTAAATTTTACACGCAAATTGTCACATTTGAGTCTTGGATTGGGTATACGATGCAAAATAATCCAAGCATTGGTGCAAGAGGATTTTGGTGCAAGAGGCCTCTGTTAGGTTTTCAGCTCTTTTTTCAAGTAATTTAGCCACTGAACTGAATTTAGCCGATCGCCGATCATTTTCTCAAGATTTAAAACAAAGCAAAGATCTGAAGTGGAGGATCGTATGGTACTTGATTTCTTCATTTGTCATCTCTGCATTTCAGTGGTGGTTGCAAATACTCAGTTGGTGAGTTTCTAGGAAAAGTGAGTGAAGAATCCCTTCATATTGAAATTCTTATGTACAGTCCACAGCAGAAGTAATGTGTGGTTTCAGTCATGGGTATGTTCTGCTTCTGAAGCTTAGGAACGATTAGCCAGGCTACAATGAAACTTTGAATGTAGCTTATATGTATCGTCACCCTTGCAGCTGCAACTTTAGCTATTGACATCTTCTTTTCGATCGCTCCGCATTAAACAATCGCCAGTCAAAGCCAACCTTTGAGATTGGTAAAACCCTACATTACTTTAGCAGTGGGCTGTACCTACGAGTCTGGAGTACCTTTGCATGACTGTCGAGTATAGCAGTTTCAGTGTGACGGCTGATGTTGTTCATGAAGGCTCACTGATTCAGCACATGTGGTGTGGAATCAACTGTGGGTGGTGGCGTAACACAGATTTTAGGGGAGTCAGCTGTCCTATGTGTACCTATGACCTGATTTTATATAGGTACCAAATTTAGTAACTACCTAACTATGATGTATTATATCTGGATGATAGTAGTCAGTAAAACAGTACATCTGTAGACATTTGAAGCAGGGATTGCTACAAAAAGAGCAAAGTTCCTAGGCTAAATGTGGTGGATGTGCGTTATCCTACTTTTTAAGGATTTTGGTTAAGTTTGCTAACAAAGATTTTATAGTATCATCTTTGGGTATCTGCAATGAAGTCCTATTTTCAACAATACAGGAATTTTATGGCATTCATAAAAAGTGTGATGGTTATGCTATGTCACTACCTTCAGTCCTAGTTCAGGACTGAACAGTGAACAAGACACTGTTTTTGGGAAAGTCAGTGGTGTCAAGCAGTGGCCAACCAGCTATTTTGCTTCATAGCAGGCTGCAGGTATGTACATACTTTGAAATTATGTAATATGTAGTGCAAGTATGAGGGCTGGATGACAACTCCTACATATTCCCATTGGTTCCTTATGGCTGGAATTGGCTTTCCCATGTACAATTTCATGGAAATGTCACCTTACTCAGTTACCTGGCAAGTGCAACTAAGGAGTTCTTGCCTGTTTGCTGGATGGGGGCTGTATTGCCTGATTTCATCTCTCAGGCTGCTGCAGCATAAGTCATGCACTTACTGTGATATGATGCTTGACAGCAACGACCAGCAGTGACAATAGCCTGGTCAAATGAACTAGCATGCCAATATCATTGCAAAATAGATAAGCATGACAACAGCATGAAGTCAGATATTGTTTACTCAATTAGCTGGGTTCATATTTACATGGACAAAATGGTGAAATAGCCATAATGCATATAACCACATGAGTATATGTGAAAGTGGGTAATCACATTTACCCAAACACAATCTTTCAACCAGAATCAATGGATAATTGAACATACATTGACATATTCCTTTGCATTATTGCTCTTATTCAAAGGCTTTGATCAATTGGAGAAGGTATCACAAATGTACCAGAAGAAGCTACCAAGGACGAGGACAATATTGTGTGAGATTGTCCCTGTCCTGGAGGTGATATCATTTTAAGCATAAAAAGGTTTATTGTCAGGAATAACTTAGCAAAAAAAAAAAAAAAATACAGCCTTATCCTGCCTAAGTGAATAATAGGTACCTACCATTACCTAGGTAATCTTTTTCCGATTTATGAACAATAAGGTCTTACAAAACTGAAGGTTGAAGGAGGAAAATAAGACAGCCAATGGAACTTATGATATCAATGTCATGTAATATTATCATTGCTGCACTCTGAAGCACAATTCATTATCATAATGACTGTAATCTGAGGCCGAATTAACATGCTGTGGCGATGGGCCCTGCGGCTGTGGACGGGTCTGAGACAGTGCTCAGCGCTGGGACGTCATGCAGCGGAGCTGGCGGGGTCACAGGTCCGCGTCTGCCTGCCTCCAGCCCCGGACAGGAGGGCCGGAGCGCCGCCGCCGCCGCGCGCGCGCGCCGCCGGCTGACCGCTGCTCGTCTGTTGTAGGTGGCGCTCGGGTCACCATGGCCACGGGCAACCCTCGCAACAAGGTGGCCCTGGCGCCGGGCCGATCGCTCATGGACTGGATCCGGCTCACCAACAGCGGCGTCGACCTGACGGGCGTGGGCGGCCGTCGGCGAGAGGTCACCAAGGACGAGCTGGCGCGCCACAGCCGTCCCGGCGACCTGTGGATGGCGCTGCGCGGCCAGGTGTACAACGTGACCCGCTACGTGGAGTACCACCCGGGCGGCGCCGACGAGCTGATGCGCGCCGCCGGCGCCGACGGCACAGAGCTCTTCGACTCGGTGCACCGCTGGGTCAACTACGAGGGCATGCTCAGCAAGTGCCTGGTGGGCAAGTACGTCGGCGAACAGTCGCTGGCCAAGTCACTGATCCGCAAGGCGCTGGGTGTGGGCGGCGGCGGCGGCGGCAGTAGCGGCAACTCGCTGGCGCCTCCCCCCGGCCCGGTCTCGCTGCGTCCCCCGGCGCCGGCGCCCGCGCGGCCCCCGCCGCGGCCGGCGGCCGGGCCCGACTTCGACTGGTTCCAGAGCCCCCAGCAGCTGCACCTCATCACCTACTGCCGGCAGCCGGGGCTGACTGCTGACGACGTCAGCGTGCGACTGACGGGCCGCCGGCTGCTGTGCCGCGTCTACCTGCGCGACTCTGTGTTCACCCTGCACTGGGAGCTGCCGGAGGACGTCAGTCCGGACGCGCAGACCTCCGTGTCGCCGGCCGGGAAGGTGGAAATTGTGCTGGAGAAGCGGCGCGCCGCCCAGTGGGCCAGCACGGGCCGCGTGCTGGCCGGACACCGTACCAGCACGCCGCTGGCCCAGTTCTGCCCCGAGTTCGTGTCGTTTGTGCTGGTCGAGCGGCGGCCGGTGAGCCACGACACGCGCCTGCTGCTGCTGCAGCCGCCGGCCGGCTGCTCGTTGCGGGTGCCGCTCGGTTTCCACGTGTTCGTGCGGCGGACGGTGTGCGGCGCGCAGCTGGAGCGGCCCTACACGCCCGTGCCGGAGAGCGTGGGCGAGGCGGCGGCGGCGTCGGCGGCGGCCGAACGCCAGCTGTGTCTGATGGTGAAGGTGTACCCGGACGGCGTGCTGACGCCCCAGCTGGACGCGCTGCGACTCGGACAGACACTGGAGGTCAGTGAGCCGGTGGGCACGTTCCGGCGCCGGCCCCAGGACGTGGCCGAGCTGGTGGCACTGGCGGCCGGCACCGGGCTGACGCCGATGGTGGGCCTGGTGCGCGCCGTGCTCGACCAGTCGGCGGAGGCGCCCGTCCGACTGGTGACGTTTGTCCGCCGGCAGCGCGACCTGCTGTGGCCCGACCAGTGGGCGGCGCTGGCCGAGCGCCAGGCGCGCTTCAGCGTACTGCACGTGCTCTCGGAGGAGGAGGCGGAGAGCGCGTGGAGCGGCCGGCGCGGCCGGGTGTCGGCGCCGCTGCTGGAGGAGCTGATACCGGAGCCGGCGCGGCCCGGACTGCTGGTGGCCGTCTGCGGACCCACGGCCTTTTCGGCCGCCTGCAGTCGGCTGCTGGCAGAGCTCGGGGTGCCCGACCAACAGGTCCACGTGTTTGATGGCTAGGCAGAGCTGCAGCCGTGAAGGGAATCTTGCGATTCATGATATTGGCCCGGGCGCTGAAACAACGTAGATGTCAGACTGAGTTTAAGTTGGCGTTGCTGCCAGATGGTTCCAGCGTTTCAGCGAGTTTGCTTTGCCTTTGGCAAGACCAAGCTATTAAGAAATATTCAGCATTCATAAGTCTTCAGCGTTAATGTGACATGACGTTTTTAAACCTAACATTTTAAACCGTGATTTGGCCAGTGTTACGTTTCGTAGTTCCTTTTTACAGTGCTGGGCCGATGCTGCCTTAGTATTTTTTCACTAGGGATGCTATCAGATAGGAGTGAGATCGCGCCCACGGTCGCCGCGCTGTACTCGATATTTTATGTGCGACGTGTGTCCAGTCGTGCTGCTGGCCTGCCACTGAACCAATTCACAATGTGGGACGGATGAGGTGGTTCATGAAGATGCCCGGTGGGTATACGTATGACGCTGATATGAGAGTGCGAACAAACGCCTGTAGTCTTAGTCAAAGCTCCATAACTATCGGATCACAAACGGATGTTTGTACCGTTGAGATTGACAGATGTCTCATTGAGATTCTCCTGGAGGTGATTTTTTACGAGCAGTTAACGCAAATGACCCAAAACTCCATAAGTCAATCGAACAATCAGGCAACCGCATAAATGTGTGCGTGACGGGCCGTGTAGATCTTTTGTGGCTCTGGTTAATGATTCCGGCGATTGGATTGTTTGGTGCCGTTAGCGTTGGTGACTGGTGACCGGCAGAGTAGCCGACGTCCTCGGTGCCGTTTAGTGTTGGTGTTTGTTGTTATAGGTACACTGGAGACTGCCTCAGCCGGTCGCCGCTGTGGCAGTGTTTATCCGTTGTCGTCTGTGGTCTAATGTTACTGAATATCGCTTTGTTCGGTGCCAGCTCGTCGTCTTCACGGGATTTGGGTCGTCACAGAACATTGTCAAAATAGGTACCTCTGCAACTATTCTCATGTTCGTGGTGTCCGTTTGCCCGTGGCTGCTGCGGCGGCATGATATCTTGCTACTCTGTGTAGCATCAACAAACAGTTGTGTTCCATTTATAAACGCAGTCTCCCACCGCACGTTTCCTAGGACAGAGCTGACACCCCACCTATCACGCTCGCGATAGACGTCGCTCTGCGCTCCGTTAGGTTTGCCGCCCGTATCGGCATTTCGCTGGGTTTTTGTCGCCGTGTTACGGCGCTGAGCGGCACGCTCGACCCACTCAGGAGCCTGCCTTGTCAGCGGGCGGGCCGTCGTCCGTGTGCCGGCGGCGCCCCCGCCCCCGCTCCCGCTCCGTGTCGTGTCGGGGCGACCGCGGCGGACCGTGCGTGTGCGGGCGAGAGTGCCGCCGCGGGTAGACTGTCCGGCCAGAGGTGCGTCGTGTGGTAATAAATGACGTGACGGCAGTACCAGCATACCGGCTCGTTTGTGACACTTTTCCACAGATATATTCTGGCCTTAAATGCTAACATCGAGCTCTCTTGGCTGAACAGCTGAGCAGTGGTTTGGGCTGCACACCCACTGGTGATTCGTAGGTACTAATGGTTCATCGGCAGTTAACATGGTTTCTCACAGCAGCAGTGGCTCCCAGTCGGTCGCTGGGTTCATGACAGTCGGTCAACACTCACCGCAAGACGGACCAGGCTCAGAGCACCCACGGTCTCCGCTATCCATGAGTTCTGGCCTAGAACGCTATCCCTGTCTAAGAGGGTAGCGGTTCGACCCGTGACGCTTTGTCCAAGAGGTCTTGTTTGACTGGCCAAATTGTGCCCGCTCTCCACACTCCATCATCTGATGGGTTCTGGTCTGGTCTGGTCTGACTGGTCAGGCTGGTCTGTGCCACTGGTCTGGTCTGGCTGACTGGGTCGCTGTTGGGCGGAGTCGGGTCGGGTCTGTCAGTGGTTGCGTCCGCCGTACGGCCGGCGATGGGCGCTGATCACCGTCTCCGAGCTCACTGCGCTATTTATTGATCCCCGCCGGGGTAATAACCACGGCTGAGCAGGTGACACGAGCCGCCCCGGCGTCACGAGGGTCCAATATCGACGGCGGACGACCCGCCGCCGCCGCCCGGGGCCGGCCGACAGCGGCCCAGAGCGAGCTGCCACGGAGCTGCGGTGATCAGTACGGTCCGCTGACAGTGCGCAGCGAACGGTCCATTACGGGTGCTCTTCTTTAGGATTCCTGCTGCATGGGTAACAGACATAGACATGCTGTCGGAATGATGATGCTTGGTAGGGTGGCTTTGGAAGAGGATATTGTCATGGTGCCGTGCCTCAGTAACTGACGATAGTCCACCAGATCAATGAATCTAGCATGATTGTGTGGAACACTGCGTGACCGCAGGAGCCATTAGGCTAGAAAGTAGAAACCTTCTCCACTTGCTCGCTGTTAATGGAGCATGGCTGTGCCTGCTTCACGCAACGTGACTGGCTGGTGGAGTAAGGTTGTTCGCTCAAAAGGTTTGAATGAAATGGCAGAAATGTATGGTTTATTAGGCGATAGAGAACTGTGAGACACCTGAGACCCCTTCCCGATGATTAACTAAGATATTTAATGAGCAGGGCTAGCTTAGACTGAGTGACGTAATGGTCAAATATCCATGAGAGTCGGTCTGATTTCTGGCAAATCGAGAACTGTCCATGCTGGATACCGTTGGTGCTAACTGCTAACTGCTAAGGAGTTTTCCGTAAGATTGGTATCGGTGTTCTATCTGTATCTGATACTGAGTGCTGCTTATCCTGTGACGTGATCTTGTACCGATCAGAGTCTATGTCACCCATTTCCCCACTGACAGGCAGCCACGTCCTGCCCTCGTCCCGCTCTGACGGCGTCTGGCGCTGTTGGCAGGCCCGCCGAGATGCTGACCGGCTGCTGCGCGCGCCTGCTGCGCCGGGCGGCGGCCGTGCCGCGGGTGCCTCCGGTGACGGCCGGCGCCCTCCGGCTGGTGGACGCAGGCCCCGTCCCGCCGCCGCCGCCGCCTCCGCCGTCTCTGACCCTGCTGCTGTGCCGCTCCGGGCACCGGCTGGCCGTGCCGCCGGGCGTCCCCGCGGCGCCCTGCTGTGGACCGCTCTCCTCGCCGTCCACCTGCGGCCCGGCGGCCCCTTCACCGGGCCGCTGCGTCCGTCAGTCGGCCCGGCTGTCCACCGCCGTCCGGACGGCAGCCTGCCCGGCCTTCCAGTGGAGGAGTCTCAGCGACCAGTCCACTCGGGAACACAGCGACGAGCCGGCCCGGGAACACAGCGACCAGCCGCCGCGCAGCATGGTGGAAGACGTGCGGCGCACCGGGCAGCAGATGCGCTCCACGGTCCGGCGCATGGTCTCGGTATGTACCGCGGGCGACGCGCTGGCAGGCTGCCTGGAAGGCCCCGCGCCCTCCTTTGAGTATATTGGCTGACATCGATGAGCTGACACGCCATAAGGCAGGAGACTCCCTCTGATGCTCCTGTGGTGTTCATACTTCATGTCATGCTTTTTTATTAGGCCATGGAGTTGGAGTTTTAGTAATTGGTCTTTTTAATATCCGCGTTCTTGTGTAAGCAGTTCCCTGTGAAGGGTTTGGTGGACGCCCATTCTGAGGGTTGGTGGTTCATCCCCGACTCCGGGAGTGGTGTGGAACATTTCCCTTCTGAGAGCCGTTCCTCGTCCTGTGACCTGCAGCACTGGCCCGCTGCACTAAATGGCTGAATGGCGCCAAATGGGGGCCGAGCACTCCATGTATAGAGCGGTCCAATTACATTAGCAGGAGGCAGCGACCCAGCGTGGCCAAACCAGCTAGCGTTGCGCTATTCAACACTCTTCGACCCGTGTCTGGGGCCACAGACACAGTGCTGAGCAGTGGGGTGACTTATATGGTCCCTGGCTCTCGGTTAAAAGCTTAAGTGACGGTTGCGTTTCGGAGCTCTAATTAAACAGCTAAAGCTTGTTTCTTTTGTTTTGTTGACAAACCCTCAATTTCAACAATGATTTCACGGGCGACTGCTAGGTTGATTCCTGAATAAACCAAAATGACATGAGTGATATAAGTATCGGTTTTACGTTGAAACATTCCATTCTTGTGCGGATATCGGTTCCACAGGCAAGGTTATATGCACGCGTGCTGATGACGTGTGTGTGATGTGTGTGTTCCAGCATGAGAACATTTACACGGTGCCAAACGCGCTGTGCGTGACGCGGATCGCGCTGACGCCCGCCATCGGGTGGCTGGTGGCGGCCGAGGCCTACGAGCCGGCGCTGGCCTGCTTCATCGTGGCAGGGGTGACCGATCTGCTGGACGGCTGGATCGCGCGCACATTCCCCGGACAGGTGGGGGCACGGGTGGACGGAGTGTGGGTGGACAGGTGGACGGGGCGTGGGTGGACAGGTGGGTACGCACGAGTGGGTCTTACCGGACAGGCTGGGCGAAAGTTACAGGCCAGCTTTTCTCAAACAAGTGGGTGATTGGCTGCCAGCAGATTTCATGAAGAAGAGTTGCTGACTCGTTTTGCATTATTGTGCCGTTTTCGTTTGTTCCTTCACTTTGTTATGCTATATCAACTTGACAATTGCGTATATCATTTACCCCAAAAGAATAGCCATAAAATATTGGCTTCGCATTCTGTCCGGTACTTGTCTTTGCATTAGCTCGATTCTCGCCGTCAATTCACCACCATCGCACCGCTGTACTCTTCTCTCCCCACCGTCGCCTCGGCGTCCAGTCTGATTCCGACAGTGTGACGCTCTCCGTGACAGTGTGCTGAGCTGAGCGCGCCGCCGCGAGCGGACGCGAGCGCTGCTCACTCCTCCCCGTTACCCCCTTCTGCCTACTCCGTGTGTTAGTGTGAGTGTGAGTGTGGTTTTGTGCTACTTGAACAGTTTCTACATGGATACGTCGTTTGCAACCTCTTCAAGATCTCATCGTGGCCAATACCCCTTTCGCCTCAACATGCACCGTGATATCGCCCGGCTCCTGGTTCTGCTCGCCGTAGTGCGGGTACTGACCGTCGTGGCCTGCCCGGCACCAGCGCCGCCACCCAGGTCCACGCTTCGAGTTGCCGATCACCGTCTCAGGCACCACCTCACCGTAAGAAAACCTGCTTTCCCACGCAATTTTTCTCGGAATTCATCTAACTCTACTTGTGACCCGGCCCCAGCTCTAGCCACCCAACGGCTGCCGGTTTTCAAATCTTCCCGAGCCTCGGGGACGACGGCCCGCAGTCCCGCGCCGCGCGCCGAGCCCCACGGGCGCCAGCTGGCGGCCGTGTCGCCTCACCCTCCCCTCCAGCTGAGAGCCCCGCCGGCCCGCGGGGGTGGGGAGCGGCCGCTCGCGCTGCCCGCGTCCCACGGCGCGCAGCCGGCAGCCCAGGCCCCGCCCATCAGAGGCTCCACGCGCCACAAGCCGGCCCGCTGCGACGGACGCCGTCCACAACCGCCGCCCACCGGCGGATCGCCCGAGCCTCACGCCCAGCTCCCCACCGCCCTCGCCTCCGCACCCGCTCCAGCCGGTCAACCCGCCGCACCAGCTACCGGCGCCCCTAGGTCGGCCCGAGGCGGCGGCCGGCGGCCGCAGCGCCGCGGCGCGCGTGGACGGAGGGGGCGGGGCGGGGGCCGCACCGCGACCGCGCCCACCGCTCATCGCCCCGGCACCGGACTGCAAATCGGAGCCCTCAATGTCCAGAGCCTCAAGCCCAAACTGCTGGAGCTGTCGGACGAACTTAACCGCCAAGATCTCGACGTCATGCTTCTGTCCGAAACTTGGCTACGACCGAGCACACCCAATCGCCTCCTGGTCATCCCTGGCTACTCCATCAGCCGGGTGGACCGACCTGACGGCCGAGGCTTTGGTGGCGTCGCCATCATCACCAAAGCGGACCTTACGCCTGTAGCACTGAAGCCACCAAGCTCGCAGTGCCCGGACAGTCTTCTGGAATCGCAGTGGGCATTGTTGAAATTACCAAAAAATCGCAATCTGATTGTCTGCTCGGTGTACCGACCGCCGCGTTATTCCGCGACCGCACTGCGTGCGGATTTTACAGACTTGGAAACCCAGCTTCAGCGTGTCCTTATCGACCACCCCAACGTCCCGTTTGTTATATGCGGCGATCTGAATTGTGACTTGTTAAAGAGCGCTAGCTCTCCCGCCCGTCAACACATCAGCGAGTTCCTCTCTGACTACTCCCTGGATCAACTCGTGACAACATCAACATTCACTACCGGTTCTCTCTTGGACGTGTGTATTGTACAAAACCGAAAATTTGTGCGTTCTTATAGCGTAGTCCATTGCCATTTCAGCCCACACAAACTCATCCACGTGACCGTCGACGTGCCTAAGCAGCGCCTAAAACCAACTGTCATCCAATCTAGATCACTTAACCAAGTGGACGTTCACTCTATCAACCAAGAGCTGCTGAGTGTCGATTGGCAGGAAGTTTATAACTCGACGTCTGTTGCTGACAAGTGGCAGGTCTTTTTAGACAACTTTCTACCTGTCTTCGACGACCATGCCCCCCTCAAAAATGTGCTGATAAGAAATCCTACAGCGCCCCCTGTATCTGCCGCCACCCGCGACATTATGTCCAGGCGTCGCTCCGCGTTACGTCGGCTAGGCCGCGAGTCTCCCGAGTATAAGGCTCTTAACCGCTCCGTCCGTGCCGCCTTACGCCGAGACCGCCGTCACGTCCTCCAAAACGAGATCAGCGAGCGTGGGGTAAACAAAGTCTGGCAAAGCATCAAATCAGTGATCGCTGGAAAGAAAGATGGTCCAAATATTCAGCCCGATCTATCTCCCGACGATCTGAACTCCTTCTTCGTCTCTGTCGGGCCCCGCATTGCCACCGAACTGAGTACCCAAAACAACGATACTGATCTAAATGTACGTCTACCCCGTGTCGGCGCATGCAGCTTTAGGCCGAGGGCCATCACTCTCGGGGAACTCGGACTCACAGTGTTCAGCATGCGAAACTCTGCCGCGCGTGGCACTGACGGTATATGCATCCGCATGTTAAAAGTATGCTTCCAAACTATTGGCGACATCATTTTACACATCATTAACGTCTCAATCACCCGTTCCGACATTCCTGACCCCTGGAAACACTCTATCGTTCAACCGATCTTCAAGTCGGGCAACCCATCTGACCCCAGCAATTTCAGACCGATCTCCCTAGTTCCCGTAATCATGAAAATCATCGAGCGTGTAATCCATCAGCAGCTCTATCACTATCTCACCCATAACCACCTTCTTTCGTCTACCCAACACGGATTCCGCCCCCGACACTCCACTGAGACTGCACTGCTGTCAGTCACAGATAGCATCCTTGCCGCCACCGATAGGGGTGAGATCTCAATGCTATGCCTCATAGACCTTAGCAAATGTTTTGACGTCATTGACCATGAACTCCTTGTCAAAAAGCTCCAAATCTACGGTATTGAGACCTCCTGGTTTTCGGCTTATCTTCAGGGACACACGCAGAGTGTATCCCTGAAAGACAAAACCGGCCGTAAGATAACCTCTCGACCGCTCCCAAACACCGTAGGAGTTTTCCAGGGTTCGGCTTTGGGTCCCCTCCTCTTCACTATATTCTCCAACGACCTCTCACTATTTGCCGGAGACGCCACCGCTTATCAGTACGCAGACGACACCCAGATATTGGTGAGCGGCCCACGCAACGACATCAGGAGTCTCATCTCGCGCATGGAGACATCGCTAGAGTCACTTAACGCATGGTTCTGCGCACACGCCCTGAAAGTCAACGCTTCTAAAACTCAACTGATGGTATTCGGTAGCCGACAAAACCTACGTAACCTGCCTCGCTTCAAAATCTCTTTCCGTGACGCTGAGCTCCTGCCGTGCGCGCAGGTGGGAAACCTGGGTGTTGTATTCGACGGCGCACTCACCTGGGAAGCACACGTGGCCGAGCTGAGCCGTCGCTGCATGGGCGTACTGATCGGCCTCTCCCACGCACGACACTGCCTCCCAGACGGTATCCTCAAAACGATCGTGACTGCACTCGTCATCTCGCGCGTCCAGTACTGCCTCACTGTATATGGAAATGGCTCCCAGAAAAACTTCGACCGACTTCAAAAAATTCTAAACTTTGCAGCACGGGTCATATTCGGCCGCCGGAAATTCGATCACGTCTCTGGCCTCCGCGATTCACTCGGATGGATGCCTCCGAAAGCTATGGCCGATGTTAAAACCATGGTAACTGCGCAGAAAATAATAAGCAACGGCGAGCCCGAAGCACTAGCTGCCATCTTCACGAATAACAGTGACGCGCGAGAGAGGTCCACCCGGCAGGACCACCTTTTCCACCTTCCACGCTCGCGGCTCGAGACTGGCAAGCGACGATTCGGCTACCGGGCCGCGGCGCTACTAAACAGTCTGCCTCCCGGTGTCATCGAACAGCGCCCCGCCCCATTCGCCCGTGCGGCCAAGGCTGCAGTCTGTCCGGCGATGGCGACCGCCCGACGATGACCCGTGTCAGGGGAAGGAGGTGCGACATCCGTGTGCGGTGTGCTGTCTGAATCGTCCGTTTGTATATAGAGAGAGCGAATGTCAAGCGATTGAATCTGTATGCCTGTGTTTCTTGTCCCCGCATGTTTTTGTTTGTGCCCGACTCAGACTCTGGACTGTAATCGCCACGCCCCGCGTGGATTGTCCATGAAGGTAATACAATACAATACAATACAGTGTGACGCCCTCCGGACTCCCATGCGATACTCGGTGCCCCTGTGACGCCTTCCGTCCCACTGTGACGCCTTCTGTGCCCCTGTGACACACCCCCTGCCCCTGTGACGCCCGCCGTCCTGTCGCCAGTCGTCGCTGCTGGGCAGCTTCCTGGACCCGCTGGCCGACAAGCTGCTGGTGGCCACGCTGTTCCTGTCGCTGACCTACACGGGTCTGATCCCGCTCGGACTGACGGTGCTCACTGTGGCGCGCGACCTGGGACTGATCGTCGCCGCCGCCTGGGTGCGGCACCGCTCCGTCCCGCCGCCGGTACGTGCGGGGGGCTCTGCGGACCCTGGGACCCCTGTGAGACCCTCTGTCCCCTTTGAGAGACCCGGGGGCCCCTCCCACTGCCGCGCCAGTTCGTGTGGGCTACGGAATACCGTGGGACCCCTGTGAGTACCTTGGACCCATCCCGCCTGAGACCGCCCCATGACACCGCCGGTATGTCTGAGGGCACCCTGGGCTCCCTCCCCCCGCCATTATGTGTTCATTAGGAGGCCCTGGGACCCCTCCGGTATGTGTGAGGTCAGTGAGACCCTGGGACTCCTCCCGCCGCCGGTACGTGCGATCTCCAAGGAACCTGGCGACCTCCGCCCTCCCACCGGTAAGTACGTGTGGGCTGCACGGGACGCCGGTGTGGACGTGAGGAACTCTTAAAGACTCCGCCTCCATGACCCATAACATCACGGTATCACGGCCGCCGATGGGCGTGTGTTTCGAGGCGGGGTGATTTGGGGACAGTCCCTGCCACCGGAGAGTGGGCGTGTCCCAGCTCCGGCCTGACCTCCGCCGCCGGAGAGTGGGACTGAGCGTGTCCCAGCTCCGGCCTGACCTCCGCCGCCGGAGAGAGGGCGTGTCCCAGCTGCGGCCTGACCTCCGCCGCCGGAGAGAGGGCGTGTCCGAGCTGCGGCCTGACCTCCGCCACCGGAGAGTGGGACTGAGCGTGTCCCAGCTCCGGCCTGACCTCCGCCGCCGGAGAGAGGGCGTGTCCCAGCTCCGGCCTGACCTCCGCCGCCGGAGAGAGGGCGTGTCCCAGCTGCGGCCTGACCTCCGCCACCGGAGAGAGGGCGTGTCCGAGCTGCGGCCTGACCTCCGCCGCCGGAGAGAGGGCGTGTCCCAGCTCCGGCCTGACCTCCGCCGCCGGAGAGAGGGCGTGTCCCAGCTCCGGCCTGACCTCCGCCGCCGGAGAGAGGGCGTGTCCCAGCTCCGGCCTGACCTCCGCCGCCGGAGAGAGGGCGTGTCCCAGCTCCGGCCTGACCTCCGCCGCCGGAGAGAGGCCGTGTCCCAGCTCCGGCCTGACCTCCGCCGCCGGCGAGAGGGCGTGTCCCAGCTGCGGCCTGACCTCCGCCGCCGGAGAGAGGGCGTGTCCCAGCTGCGGCCTGACCTCCGCCGCCACAGAGAGGGCGTGTCCCAGCTCCGGCCTGACCTCCGCCGCCGGAGAGAGGGCGTGTCCCAGCTCCGGCCTGACCTCCGCCGCCGGAGAGAGGGCGTGTCCCAGCTCCGGCCTGACCTCCGCCGCCGGAGAGAGGGCGTGTCCCAGCTCCGGCCTGACCTCCGCCGCCGGAGAGAGGGCGTGTCCCAGCTCCGGCCTGACCTCCGCCGCCGGAGAGAGGCCGTGTCCCAGCTCCGGCCTGACCTCCGCCGCCGGCGAGAGGGCGTGTCCCAGCTGCGGCCTGACCTCCGCCGCCGGAGAGAGGGCGTGTCCCAGCTGCGGCCTGACCTCCGCCGCCGGAGAGAGGGCGTGTCCCAGCTCCGGCCTGACCTCCGCCGCCGGAGAGAGGGCGTGTCCCAGCTCCGGCCTGACCTCCGCCGCCGGAGAGAGGGCGTGTCCCAGCTCCGGCCTGACCTCCGCCGCCGGAGAGAGGCCGTGTCCCAGCTCCGGCCTGACCTCCGCCGCCGGCGAGAGGGCGTGTCCCAGCTGCGGCCTGACCTCCGCCGCCGGAGAGAGGGCGTGTCCCAGCTGCGGCCTGACCTCCGCCGCCGGAGAGAGGGCGTGTCCCAGCCCCGGCTTCACCTCCGCCGCCGGAGAGAGGGCGTGTCCCAGCCCCGGCTTCACCTCCGCCGCCCACCGGCCCTCGTTCCGTAGGCATATTCCCCGTGCCATTGCGTGGTAAGATATTCTTATTGTGACGACACCTCATAGAAAAGCTATATGGTATCAGTCACCTGGAAATCATCGGACAAAGCCAAAGGATGCTTCAAAGATGAGGCTAAATCTATCATAAATTACTTGCTGCCTGGTGACTGACAATCATTTACAAAGGTTTGTGTTTTGTCGCAAATTGTTACCTAATTCCAGGGATTAGGTGGCTGTGCCACAGTACGCCCCCCCCCCCTGTGCCGGGGACTGGTCGTCGTTATCTGTCGGGCCCGACGACTCGTATCTCCGGTCAGAGGCGTGCCATCGATATTGGTGGCGCCACCGCTGCTATTGACCCGGGCCGCGGGCCGCGGGCTGCTGTCGGCATCGGTAGTCGAGGCGCTGGGTGGTCTCCGTTCGCCCACAGCAGTCATTTTACACGGAACTTTCGGAAGCATGTTAATGATGTTCAACAAAACCTTTCCCCACTATGTTCCTCGACACAATCATGTCATGACACATCTCTGAAATGTATTTATGATTGCGTTCTTCTTGATTATTACGATACCATTGCATTCACCTGTGCATCGCTAAGCAGGTATATACCTATTCTGTCATCTTGGATTCATTAGGCTTGAACAGAAGCTAAGGCATGTTTATCAGCCGACTGCTTTTGAGCGCATGAAAAGGATATTATGGAGCTGGAGCATGATAATGTACTTTATTGTGATGATGATATCCTTTAATGAGGAAACGTTTGCTAAGATAATGTTGGCTAAACTCCATCAAAAGCCATCCATTAGGCAGCCCTGTTGGCTGTTTTTATCAAGATTACTTTACGTTTTTATTCTCGGCCCTGCGGCCGCGGCCGTACCAGTTTCTGTGTCTCGCCGCCAGGGTGCGCAGCCGTCCCTGAAGGGGGCAGCACACTGGCCGGCCATCGCATGAAATGGAAGCCGTGAGGCCTGAGCTTGATTTCATGATGAGGGAAAAGTCTTATTTCTCTTTTATGTGGCTTGTGTTGTGCGGACGTGTGACAATAATAGAGGCTCAGGCTTTGGAGGGGCTTCGTTTCTTTTTCGATTTTTTTTAACTCCATCGTTTGACCCTTCATTGCGTTTTGTTTAAGCCGAATGTTTTGTTTTTCAGTTTTGAGCGCGGTACGCTCCTTCCGTTTTTTTTTTTAATGTAGTTGCATTTTACTTCGAAGACTTTTATTGGCTGCTCCAATGAAACGATGGCCAGGCCCTTTTTCATATTTATGGGACGATACATGAGAAACGTTTGTGCTCGAAGCTTTTTCTTCGCCTTATGCAGTGATGAAGTGTCCGTGACATAGCATACCGAAGTTGAAAGGTAATTATCAGGTTGGTTGGAAGGGTTACCTGATCCGCCGGGTATCCTTCTCCCTATCTCCAGCTGGCGGTGACCCTGCCGCTGCCCCTGCCGGTCAGTCGCCGACCCCCCGACCCGGTGGTCCCGTGTAGCGGCACGCCGGATCAATAGCCTGACGGCTGGCGGCACCAACTGAGTTCGGGACACATTTCGTGACCGTCCAGTGTTCGTGACTCAGACTGTCAAGCATTCGTTATTGTTAGCCGTCCGAACTTGTCGAGGGTAACTTGTCCGTAACCATCTAATGCAGATCATGGCTGTCTATTGTCCGAGACTAGGGGAGAGTGGGGTAATTTGGCCGGTGGTGTAAATTGGCCGCCCCCACCTGTACGCTGTCTAATAAAAGTGAGTGAAATAGCTCTAGTCTCTATTCATTTGTCATGGGTAGAAATAACTGGAGGACAAATGTCAAAACTTTGCGCCTCGTAGTTTTATTCAAAATTAATAAAACGTTAATTTCATTAGAAAATGGTAACTTTTACTTCTGTTTACAAAGTTGTATAACATGTAGTATTTGGGCTAAAAACGAATTCAGACATTATAGCGCCATTCTTGGGGGTGTTCAGCGGTTCCAAGAGCAATTTTATCTAATTCCGTATAGCCGTGATGACTTTATAGACAAAAATTTTCAGAATGACAATATGGGGTAATTTGGCCGGGACTAGCGGGGCAACTTGGCCGGTGCGCTCATGGTCTATATGCTGGGACGGCCGAGTTTTCATGGTCAATTGTACCATAAATGACATGATTCATGACCAACTTTGACTACTTTGATGCCTTACTTTCGATTGGTCAACTGTAAGAGCATGTGACGTCATCAAAGGTTACCAAACGTTTTTTGCTAATAAATCATTACATAAAAATGGTACAGCCGCACAAATGGTCTCATTCTGTTCAGCTCGCCAAGGCGCATCGAATGATATGCATGATGGCCTTGAAATCACGTGACCTTGAGGTCAAGCGACCATATGCAACGTGACCTGAGGTCAACCTTTGACCTTGACTTCTCAAGGTCAACACATATATCTTTCGATGCGGACTGACGAGAGAATTACGATGGTACTCGAATTTTTGGCCTAGCTTGATTACTTCAAAAGTTATTCGTAAAAAACTGTCTTCGCATCTAGAGCCGCTAATTTGGCTATTTTGACCCCTGTGACCCCTGAGTCAACCTCCAAAATGCGGCAAATGCGTCATGGGACACACGTCATTGCTGAATCTGAAGCTGACTCGCAATATAACAGAAAATCCCGACCGCAAACTAACACCGGCCAAATTGCCCCACACCCCCGGCCAAATAACCCTGCTAGTGGGGCAATTTGGTCGCCTTGCAGACCTTTGTAATACGTCACAATTTCAATATAAGTAATTACTCTATCATTTCAAGTTCACTGTCCAGTAAAGTAAAATGAATACGACACCTGCCAGCGTTGAGAAAATGCAGAAATGTGTCGTCAATTTTAAGTTATATCGTTTTCTGAAAAAGCGGCCAAATTACCCCACTCTCCCCTATCTAGTGACCTTGTGTCCGCGGCTGCCCACTGTCCGTGAGTCCGTGACCCGCTGCAGACCACTCCGTGTCCGCCGCCCGCCGGCGACCGGGACCGCCGCCATCGACCCGCCGGTCGGCCAGAGTCGGGCGGCCGTATCGACCTGTCTGCACTTCTCACTGACCCGGAGCGCTCCAACATCCCCCCCCCCCCCCCGTGGACCGGCGACCCATGTGAGGTCGTCCTACAGTGGCGGTGTTTCTGACCGTCTGACTGAGGTCTCTGACCCTGACATCTGAGCCGCTAGCCTTGACATCTGACCGTATCCGGGCCTTTCACCCTCCAACCGCGACATCTGACCGACTGATGGTGACATACCCGTCTGACCGTCTGGCCGGGCTTCTGACCGTCTAACCGTGACATTTACCCGTCTGACCGGGGCCTCTGATCCTCTAACCGCGACATCTGGCCGTCTGATGGTGACACACCGATCTGACCGTCTGACGCGGTCGTCCTCAGGTGACGCTGTCGCGCTACTTTGACCCGACGTTCGCCACCGCCCAGCTGGAGCCCACGTTCATCAGCAAGGTGAACACGTTCCTACAGATCACACTGGTGGCCTCGACGCTGGCCGCTCCCGTGCTGGGCTTCGTGGACCACACGGCTCTCAGAGTGCTCTGGTGAGGAGGGGGTACTGGGGCGGCGAGGGGTCTGCTCTGGTGAGGAGGGTTACTGGGGCGGCGAGGGGTCTGCTCTGGTAGCACGGCGATACGGAAGCAGGGAGAGAGAAAAATCGAGCTATTTAGTGGCGAGAGGATCGATTATGTGATTAAAGTCGGATGTCTGGAAGGGGTAAACCGCCCCATATTGTTAAGAGATAGAGGGTCCTTTGTTCTCTGGCGCAAGCGCGGATCCAGGGGGCCGAAGCCCCTAGCCTATCGAAAAATGCCACCCCGCCTTCGAAGGCGGCGGAGGAGGGCGTCGTTTTTTCGATGGACGGTGGAGTGCATTTTACGGGAATGAGCATTTCTTTAAGTTCATTTCATATTAATCTGTGGTAGTAACTAGCAACTGTCTGATTTTATATTCAACCCTTAGATTATGTCGCTTCTCTCCCTGAAGTCAGAGTGCCGCCCTCAAGTAGAAGTGCCGCCCCTGCAGTGAAGTGAATGCCGCCCCCGTAGGCGGGAAATGTGCCGCCCCTGTGCTGACTGCCCCCACCCTATGGAAATCCTGGATCCGCCCCTGCCCTGGCGAGAGGGTGTGCTGCTCTGGAGGGACGTGATCTGGTTGAGATGGTTTGCTCATACTTGCTCTGGTGCGCGAATGTGATTCACTGATGAGAGAGTCTGGTGTTCTGGTGAAAGTCCTGCGGTCTGGTGAGAATACCCAGTTCTGCTGGGTCTGGTGTGACGATCACGCTCTCCGGCGCGGTGGGAGGGTTTGTGCTGCGGTGCCCGGTCTCGGTCTGTCCGTGGCGACTGGAGACCGGCGTGCAGCCGCGCTCGGTATCAGCACGTCCCCCGGACATCCCTCCGTCCCTCCCCTTCCTGTGTGGTCGGTCGGCCCGGGACGGGGCCGCAATCTCCGCAGGCGCCTCCACATCGCCCCCCGGTTTCCGCTGCAGTCAGCACTGACTGTACCTCGAGTCACATGCTGAACGTGTTATCGGTCATGTTTTGAAATACATTGGTCAGTTGGATCATGTTTTCAAATACGCTTTGCTGTAGTGGTCTGTAGTCGGACTTGGAACAATAATGATTAGAAAAAATCAAAGTATTGCGTTCCAAAATACGTTGACGACTTCTGTAGTGTGTACGGTGGTGTGTGTACGTACCTATGGTGTTTTGTGTCCGTCCGACAGGGTCTGACTGTCGCATGGTTGTCACAGACCTTCTGCTCATGTCTGACCGACATCTGTCTGTCACGGATCGTCTGATTAACATCTGTCTGTCATCTGTCTGTCACGGACCGCCTGACTGTCACATGTCCGTCACGGATCACCTGGCTGGCATCTGTGTGTCACGGACCGTCTGTTATATATCTGTCACGAACTGTCTGTCGTCCAGCTGTCACGGACCGTCTGTCTGTCAGATCTGTCACGGGTCGTCTGACCGTCCCGTGACCGTCGTCCGACAGGTGTGTGACAGCCGGCACCACTGTCACCTCGGGAATGGTATACGCCCTGCTACAGAGCTCCACCTACCGGCTTCTGGACAAAGAGGACGCCAAACGGCCGCGCTGACGGCAACTCCAGCGGCAAACGGCCGCGCTGACGGCAAATCCAGCGGCAAACGGCCGCCCTGGCCGCAGCTACAGACGGCAAACGGCCGCGCTGACGGCTACTCCAGCGGCAAACGGCCGCACTGACGGCAACTAAAGACGGCAAACGGCCGCCCTGACGGCAACTACAGACGGCAAACGGCCGCCCTGACGGCAACTGCAGACGCCAAATGGCCGCCCTGGCCGCAGCTGCTGCGGCGAGGAACCGAGGGCTGAGTCAGCCGACGGCGGGGCGGACGGGACACCCCCGACTCCACTGTAAACGAGGATCGAAACCGACTGAGCAGGACTTAGCGAACTGACATTCTGGGGGGGCTGGCTTATTGACGCGGCGTAGCCTGATCATGGCCGACAGACAGACTGATAGACTGACAGACCGGCTGATAACCTGGCGGACTGACACAGTGACAGTCTGTCGAACTGACAATGTGACAGTCTGGTGAACAGACTGACTGACAGATAGGTAGCCTGGCAGATTGATACTGACAGTGACAGGCGACTGACGGTCTGGCGAAGTGACGCCGACAGCCCGGCAGTCCGGTCCAACCGACAATCATCCTTAGTTGACGCTCGCCCTCAGACAAGGACATAAAGAGTCGGATCACAGCCCGGCTGCCGGCGCCGTGACTCGCCCGGCTACAGGCACATGACTCACGGCCATGAGGTGCATTCACCCGGTACTGGGAGCTGACGTGCACGGCCCGGCGCGGTGTTCATTATGCATTATGCAGACGGCCGTGTCGGGCGGCTGTGCAAGGGAGCCCGCCGGCCGGCCGGACGCTGACTGCGGCATGTGTTCGGCGTGACGGCGCCCAGCTGCCGCCGGGGCACTGCTTAGGGTGCCAGCCGGGAGTCGGGCCTGGCTCAGCGCCGCGGGTTAGAGCCGCCGGCGCCCGAGCCACTCACTACCAACGTGCCCAAACAGTCCAGCTGTAGTGAGTGCACGGCAGGTAGCCTATGTGCAAGTGCGAGCGTTTTGGACGCATATTTTCCGCGGCATCGATGTTGTGTGCAATCACCTATACTGTACCACGAGCTTGCTGTTTGGATCGAGAGGGACAGCACCTCCGCGAATCCCCGGGACCCGCTAAGCCGTTTTTCTCCTAATGGGGAGCCAAGTCCGCTCAAATCACAGTGAAGTTGAATAATTGAGAGTGGCATGGGGCTAATAGTGCAACTGTGATTTTTACGCAATGTGCCGATTGGAAATAAACATTTTATGTCTATGGATTCGTGTTCCATACAAGCGACTCATGAGGGGAGATGGATCCACACATGAGAGCCTCGCAGTAGAGAGCGTCCGGCTGACGCCACATACGTCCGTCCTCAACCAGTTACCGCACGCCAACAGCACCGTGCAAGCCGGCGGCGTACCGCAAACACGGCGAGTGTGCATCGGCCTGCACACTCCATCGTTGCCGCTGAGCAGTGAATGGCCACGGCTTGTGCCGCAGCCATCCCTCGCTGTGGACTCGCCGGTTTCTAAACTCTGCGGCTCCCCCCTCCCCTCCGCCCGTTCAGCCCCGGACGGTGCCGGGGTCTGTTTGTCTACGAACTGCGCTGCGGCCGGCCCGGCCAAGGTCGAGCCGGCCGCGGTACATGGACCGCCGTCACACGGCTACGACCGAGCCGGCCGGCCGAGCGGTGCGCGGCGCCGACCGGTGGCCGGTGGGCAGTGAGCCAGCTACCACCCTGGGTCATGACGAAAACAACAACCAGAGCCGGGGCCTTCCTTTTATTTTCCTCAATGTATCGCTCACTGGCGTAGCCCGACAAGGTACGAGGAGCACGGCCCGAGTCCGCGGCGCTCCAACATTGGCAGGGGAGAGCAGCCCGTGGCGCTACCGTCTGGCCGCGCTCAGTGCACCGTGCATGGCTCAGAACGAGGTCAGTGTGCGGCTGGCAGCTGGGTCGCTGCCGTGGGCCGTCGGACATGCGGCGCCCGGCAACAATCAACCGCTCCTCACATGTCAGCACGGTAACCGGCGGTCCGGTCCACTTAACGCGCGTCGCACCGCGGCACAACTATCCGCCGCGCACGTTCTGCGTAACGGCATACACAAGTAACAACCAAACGGCAGCACAACATCGTAGGCGATAAAATAATAACACACCGGAGACGAATTATGTTACAACAAACACTGGCAATTAGCGACGTGCGGCTGCCGACACTGGCGGCAGGCGAGGCGGCATTAAACTGAGAGGCGCGGCCCGTCACAGCCTGGGGAGGGGTGGCCGGCCGAGCGGTCACAGCAGGTCACACCAGGTCACAGCTCCGACCTGGCGGCACAGCAGTCAGCACAGCGGTCAGGTCAGTGGGCGACCAGCGCTCAGCAGGGCACAGACGGCGCAAAAACCGCCACGCCACCAGTCTGGAATGCAAGGGCATGAATCATCAGCACTTTCCGCTACACTTATAAAAGTGGCATTATTCCATCGCGCGGTCGGCACCGTCCCCCCTCCCCTCTCCGCAGACCGGTCCGCTCCCCCTCCCCACCCGCTCCCCCAACCCAGGCGGTAGGTCCCACCGCCGCCCCGCGGGTCACGCTAGACACCAGCCAACAATAATCCCTTTGTTGATAAGATCATGATGCTTTATGCTTAATGCATTGCACAATAATCTCTTTGCACAAGATCTATTCCAGTATATTTTTAACCCTATCATACAAATGATATAAAATACGCTATTTGTGACATGAAGTAAACGAAAAAAAATATTCACGAACATAACTGGCTCCAGAATAGAGGAAGAAGTCCACTTTTTGAGCTTATCACTTTTTCTATTCTAGAAAACACAAAAGATAGGTGAACTTTATGTTTATGTTCCGGGCGACTCGGGTGCCTGGCGCCGCCCATGGCCATGGCCCATGGCGCCTGCCGGCTGGGAACGGCTGCGGGGCGCTCCCAGGTTCCCAGTCGGCAATGGCATGGCCCTGGGGCGGGGGCGGGGGACCATTTGAGGCAAATGTCCCTCCCCCCTCAGCGGCACCCCAAAATCGGCATATTTTTGCGGTTTTAAAGGAAACAGTTCACTTTCCTGAAATTAGTATTTTGCTATGGATTTACGATTTTTTATGCTCAAAATGATCAGAAAATAAAATAAAACCTTTTTGTAAAAACAATTATTTTCTATATTTTAATATAGGACGAACTATATTCTATGTAAAATAATGTTTGACGCGGAAGCTTATTACGCGTTGACCAATCATATTGCGTAGTTCAAACCTACGCATGCTGCATTAGCTGTAAGCAGCATGCTGATTGGCTGACGATGACGTGGTTGCATTCCTGTGCAAGGCACACATTCCTCTGCAAGGCACTCTTTTCGGAACGAGAAATGGAATATCTTCGTCTAGGGTGATCGTTGAGCCGTAAAAGCTCCTGATTTGTGCTAGTCTCAGCTCAAGCTACGAAACTGCTATTCCAGTTCAAAATCCCATGTTAAAAGTGAACTATTTCCTTTAACCCGCGCACCGACTTTAATCTGCGCCAACTTCGTACCGACGGGGGGGGGGAGCGGATGACCGCTCCCCCCTGAGGTCTCGAGAACGAAGCAAGATAGCGACAAGCGGTAAACGGCATCGGATACACACGGACAAGGTCTACAATTTTTACAAAGGTCATTTTCAGGTCAGGTCAAAGATGACGTCACAGGGGTCAAAAAAGTCAAAATGGCGGCGCTAGGTATGGAGAGTTTTTCTCGAATAACTTTCGCGGATTAGTCAAGATAGGAACAAACTAAGGGCATCATCGTGATCCTCTCGTCAATCCGCATCGAATGATATATATGTTGACCTCGAAAGGTCAAGGTCAAAGGTTGACCTCAGGTCACGTGACCTAGAGGTCATCATGTATATCATTCGATGCGTCTTGACGAGCTGAACACAATGAGACCATCCACGCGTCTGTATCTTGTTCCTGTACGGAGTTATTGGCAAAAAACCGCTGGTGACCTTTGATGACGTCACATGACCTTACAGCTGCCCAACAGCAAAACAGACCTCAAGGTAGTGAAGGTTGATCGTATATGAAGTCATGTATGGTATATGGGGCCATTCCGACCCGTTTTGGTGGTAAAAAAAACAGGGATTTGATTTTTCCCCCATTGACTTATAATGGGGAGGTCGAGAAATTAACCTGACCTTAGGTCACCGACATCAAAATTCCGAGATAAACGAATAGTAGCTACTAATGACCTTATAACATCCTGCGACTTTCAAAGGCCTCCGACATCTACTGTAGCTCTGGCACGGTGACAAAGTTACAAAAAAGTGACTTGAGGTTGGGTCATTCAATGTGACCTGGTGACCTGACCTTAAAAGTTAGGAGGTTCAAACTTGCACACCATGTGTAAAATTGATGAGAGAGTCGTACCAAATTTCGCGGCGCTTTCCCGCTATCCGCGAAAAACCTCAGGGGGGGGGGGCGGATATCCGCCCCCCGTCGGTGCGCGTGTTAAGAGAATAAATGGGAAATACCACTGGCCAGACAGTGACCCCTGGTCAGACAGTGACCCCTAGCCAGTGACCAAAGACCACGCCTACGGCGCCAGCGGTGGGCGTGGACTGTCTCGGTGGAACCATGTAACTGGATCAGATCGATCTTGGGCGGTGGTCGGGAGGGGGGGGGGGGGAAGGACGGCACTCCCCTACACTCAGCAGGGGAAGTGACGCCGCGGAGCGTGCAACATACACCATGAAACAAGTGGAGGGCCCGCTGCACGGTGCACCCCGCAGCGGCCGTTGATAACGAGGGGGGAGGGGGAGGGCAAGTCAGCGGAAAGGAACGAGCATGGCGTGCAAGCGTCGGCGAACTGGAGAGGCCAGCGACGCTGCTAGTGCTACCCAACCCCAGCTTAGTGGGCACATACTGCACCAAGCCTAAGCTCGCGCTTTTTTTGGTTTCTGCGGGATTTCCGTTCTGTTACTGCCAGCCTGGCGTACTGTGGAATGGAATCCCCCCCAATGACCGACGATCGTAAATATATTCCTGGTTACATGCAACAATTTCGAAACTAGTATTTGTTGATAGTTTTGCAAACACAAAACACACGTTATACAACAGAAATAATATTTTCACAAATTGATCACCTAGCCATCACTATTCACTATGCTTTAAACAAAAAGTAAAACAATCCACGCGGAGGGCCGGAGGCCGTTCGTAACAAAAGAAAAAACACGCAAGAACCGAAAAACCCAAAAACTGGAATCCCGCAGAAACCGAAAAAAAAAACGCTGCTAGTGTAGGCTGAGCTTAACGGACTCATTTTGCCCCGTATTGTCTCCCTGATGTGCTCTGTTCCGCAGATGGCCGTCAATGGCCATGCATGTACGGCCCTCCAGCAAAAGAGTGGTTGGTTAGCCTATGTGCTCTTGGTGTAATAACTTTGAATGACAGAGGCACTCCTGTAAAATGACTCGATAGAAATGAGAACAGGGTTCGTGCACACACTTCGGCAATGGTTTTCAACAGCCATTAGACGTATTCATCAATGCAGATCGCTTATTGTGATGTTGGCAACCAACCACTAAATACCTGGAGGACCGTACATACATCAGTGCATCACAAGACTCTGCTCTTTTGTCCCGTACTACGTACAGTCTGTCTTAAAAGTACCGCGCAAAGTAGCGGTGGATCCATCAAGCCTGACCGAGGAAGGGCGTGCTAAATTTGAGTCACCGAAGCCATTCATATCCTCGTCCATTCCCCAGGTCAATTGGTTCGGTGACTTTCAATTTATAGCAGGCCCTTCCTCGGTCAGGCTTGATGGATCCACCGCCACTTCGCGCGGTACTTTTAACCCGCGCACCGACGGGGGTCTGTGCCAACTTAGAACCGACGGGGGGGAGGCGGATGACCACCTCCCCCTGAGATCTCGAGAACGAAGCAAGATAGCGACAAGCGGTAAACGGCATGGGATACGCACGGACAAGGTCTACAATTTTTACAAAGGTCATTTTCAGGTCAGGTCAAAGATGACATCACAGGGATCGAAAAAGTCAAAATGGCGGCGCTAGATATGGAGACAGTTTTTCTCGAATAGCTTTCGAACTAGTCAAGATAGGAACAAACTAAGGGCATCATCGTGATCCTCTCGTCAATCCGCATCGAATGATGTATATGTTGACCTCGAAAGGTCAAGGTCAAAGGTTGACCTCAGGTCACGTGACCTCGAGGTCATCATGCATATCATTCGATGTGCCTTGACAAGCTGAACACAATGAGACCATCCGCGCGGCTGTATCTTGTTCCTATACGGAGTTATTGGCAAAAACCTTTGGTGACCTTTGATGACGTCACATGACCTTACAGCTGCCCAACAGCAAAACAGACCTCAAGTTAGTGAAGGTTGATCGTATATGAAGTCATGTATGGTTTATGGGGCCATTCCGACCCGGTTTAGTGGTAAAAACAGGGAGTTGATTTTCCCCCATTGACTTTTGGTGAATTTGGGGAGGTCGAGAAATTGACCTGACCTTACGTCATTAATATCAAAATTCCGAGATATACAATTTGTAGCAACTAATGACCTTATAACATCCTGCGACTTTCAAAGGCCTCCGCCATCTACTGTAGCTCTGGCACGGTGACAAAGTTGCAAAAGGTGAGTTGGGTAATGGGTCATTCAAAGTGACCTGGTGACCTGACCTTAAAAGTTAGGACTTAGGAGGTTCAAACTTGCACACCATGTGTAAAATTGATGAGAGAATATACATGCCAAATTTCGCGGCGCGTAATCTACGAAAAACCTCAGGGGGGGGCGGACATCCGCCCCCCCCCCGTCGGTGCGCGGGTTATGACAGACTGTACAGTGTACACTATTGATAGCCGGCGGGTGGCGTATCCCGGGATATAGTGTCAGTACACCGACCCCCTGCCCTGCCCACGGTCACCTGCCCGGCCACTGTTTCTTGCGGTCGGTGAGCGGCACGTAGACGACGCCCAGCAGCCGGGAGCGGGTGACGGTGCCGTCGGCAGCCTTATCCACCTGCTCCATGTACTGGGTGTCGCCCTGGGCGCCCACCGGTATCAGCAGCCGGCCGCCGGGCTTCAGCTGCGCCACCAGCTGCCGGCAGTCGGCGCCGAGCACGGTCAGACGGCGGCGGCCGGCGACCGGCCCAGCACGGTCCAACAGAGCCCGACCGTACACAAAGGAACCACCAAACGAGAATACCGCACAACAGGTGGCACGCTACCCGGCATGACAAATGGCAACGACGAAAACCTATTCCATAGTAAATTACGCTTATTTGGATCAGCACAAAGTGAGACAAACTTCACCTCAAATAGAGCAAAATGTTTACGTGAGGCGCCAAAACCGCTCGCCAGTTGGGCAGCCGCTGCTACTGAGCGAACGAGTCTGTAATGTACACACGGACCATACAGCACGGTCTGCCTGCACTGACCTGCTCGGGCAGCACGGGCGCCGCGGCGCCCACGTGGATGGCGTCGTAGGGCGCGCGCTGCGGGTAGCCGAGCCGGCCGTCGCCGGCCACCAGCTGCACGCGGCCCGAGCTGATCAGCTGCGGCTGGTCCTTGTCGATGTTGCGGCGCGCCTGCTGGACCAGCTCCTCGATGTGCTCCACACCGACTGCCACTCCGTTCTCGCCCACCTGGCGGCACAGGCGGCCCGCTCTGACACCGGCAGTGCGACAGCCGGGGCCGAGCCAAGGCGCGCCACCATCCAAATGGACAGGAAACAACGAACAACTAAAATAAATAACAAAAACCGCTCTGATCCCTTCCAGCACCTACCCCGATTCTCTTCCAAGGTATCAGTCCATTTCGGAGTCACATATATGAGTAAAAAACATTATTATCGTTAAAAAGCCGTACGACTCTGACCACACGTACCATCAGGGCCATACATGCGGTCAGGTAGCCACTTCCTGAGCCGATATCGAGTACAGAGGCACCCGGCTGTAGTCGAGACGACAGATTCTCCAGGGCATACGCATGCTGCAAAACATCCGCCAGAATCAGACAGCTGCGAGGGGACACACAGCAGAACGACGGCACCCCTGCAGAGACATCCCTCACATGAGACTGAGAAACTCAGTACCAACGACAGCGGCTACTCGCACAAACACAGCTGTCCTAACGACGGCTCGCACTGACACAGCTGTTCTAACGACGGCTCGCACTGACACAGCTGTGTGAGGCCGACCCTGACTCGCCCCGCCGCGGCTCGTCGGTCCGCGTCGCTCACCATGTGTGGCGCAGATATGGTGACGCCATAGCCGATCGACTGGGGACGGTCGCTGTACGGGTTGTGCGCGCAGTAGTTGCCGCGGTCCACCTGGCGCATGATGCGCTCCACACGGTCCGTTTCAATGACGCCGTTCCCTGCGCACATGGCCAAGTGTCACTGAACACGTGGCCATGTCACTAACTTAACCCGACACAACCATCACTATCCAGTCAAGCTTTGGTAGTGACAGCTGTATCTATGTGTTCATTTCGGTTTTATAACATTTCCTTTCCAACCGTATTCCACGACCACATGGTACACTTTTTTGTTTAGTATTTACTATTTGTTGTTTACTATTTACTCTCGTTTACGATTTGTGACGCTCATTCATATCAATTAGAGCGTGTGATCAACTATCCACCGGGACGCGATGCCGCCGCGGCCAGGCGCCCTGCCCTGTCCCGGGGAGGCGGCGGTGCGCTGCCGCCGCGGCCACCAGGGTAGCCCCCCTGTCCCGCGACCCAGGGAAGGGTCGCGCTCGCTGTGGCGGTGCCCACCTCGCAGCAGACGGACCATGTCCGCGTTGTCGGTGCCGTGCGAGCGCCAGGCCATGTGGAGTCGCTGACAGGACGAGGCGGACGTCAGGAGGGTGAGGGCCACCTGCACCCGCCGCCACACCATCCGACCAACTGGGGGCCGGGCGGGACACATGACAGCTCAGCATCAGCACACTGACTGACAGCGCCAGAGCCGGTCATCGCCGCTGTGTACCTACTACACCTGAACAGTCCAGTAGTGAGGGTAGTCATTAAACCGTGCCGTGCTGGTGGTCTCAGTTATCCGTGTCGTGCTGGAGGGGAGGGGCATTTTCACGCCCCCCCCCCCCCGTTTAACTCGGCTCCTGGGCCACGACGCGACACGAGGTAAGCGGTATTCGATAAAGAGTGTCACAAATAAAGACGGAAATACTTCGGTCATTTTAAGGTCGGGTCAAAGGTCAGGTCACCAGAGTCATCAAAGGTCAAATTTTGTTATTTCAATAGTTTTCGAAACACCCGACAGCGACGCATAACTCGGGAACCAATAGAGCTATATCGCCCCGGAAAGGGCATTCGATAGCTCTTTCAAAGGGCTTTCTGAGCGTTGTCCGTAGATTTAACCTAAGCTGAACGGTTTAGCCTCCACAATCCACATGGCAAAAAGTGTAAAAATAGCAGTTTTTTTACAAAAAAAGTTTTTTTTTTGCGGAAATAACTTTTGACTCAAGAGAACCACGATATTACTTTTGCCAGCATCGTATTCCTCTCGTTGAGACGTGTCGAATAAACTATAAGTTGACCTTGAATTTGAAAGGTCATTTTGAAAACTTGACCTCAAGATCATGACCTGACCGGAAAGGGTCATGTTGCATATCAGTCGATCCGTATCGTCAAGATAAACACTTCGGGCGTGTTATCACCGCTCTAGCACGTCTTTATTAAAAGTAATAGTAACAAAAAACCGCTAGTGACCTTTCATAGCCAGAGATGACCTCAGGGACAGGGTCACACAGAGGGGTCACGGGTGCAATTTTCCGATTCAGTGTGTCATGTTTACATAAAAAACGATGTTTGAGAGTTTTTAGAACTACATTCGTCCAAAAGAGGCGCATTTCATTTTTTCCCGTTAACTTATAACGGAGAGGTCGCAAAATCGACCTGACCTTAGGTCACAAATACGTGAAAACGCCCTCCAACAGGTCACAACAGAGCGTGAAAACAGAGCATGAGAGCGTTGTCCCAGGGAATGGGGGCACGGTTGGCCAGACCTCACATTTCCCCCCATGTCCTCACATTTCCCCCTTCGATGCAGAAATGTGAGGACATAAGGGCCATACTATTCTTTGGCCTCACGTTTTCAGATCGACAAAAGTCCTAAAAAAGTCATGTGTTTAATTTTCTCGTTTAATTCATAAAATGTGTTGCCTCTGCCATCAAATGAAGTAAATTTCACTTGTGGATGGGCTCAGTTTCGCATTGTCATATTAGCGGTCGCCGTCCGGCGATCGCATTCTGTCTCGAGTGCAGGGTGTCCCGAAATTGATGCGCGGTTGGTGCCGCATGTTATGTTGTTCCTTCCGAGTGCTGAACAAACGCAATTTTTCCGGCTCTGGCACCACTGACACCTTGCTGGTCACACGATCACGTGAACCAAGCGGCTAACCCGACCTCGGCCGGCAGTGGGCGCGAGAGGCCACTCTTGTCCAGACAGGCAACCTGGAGAAACTGCACATACCAAAAGTGAAAAGGCACAAACTACCGATCCGCTGCCGCGCGGTGGGGGATGATCAAGGACAGGTCCAGGATGCCAGATAACTGGGCGTCAACTCTGCAGCGATTAAACGCTGGATGGCCCGCAGACGATCAGCAGAGACTCTCAAGAACGGCACAGTTCGAGGGCGGAAGACTGCCTTGAGCCGAGTGGCGAAGATCGTGATTACAAAGTCGACGTTTAACCCGCGCCCTGGTGGGGTCTGTTTATAACGCGACCTGGTGGGGGGGGGGGCTATTTTTGTCCCCCCCCCCCTCGTATCTCCGAAACTACTGGACGGATCCACAAAATTCAAACGGCGTTCGAAAGCCCAGTCAAATTTGTCGAAGGAAATCCAATTTCATTGACCTCGGGTTCACCGATGACGTCACAGGTCAGGTCAAAGATAAAATGTTTTGCCGGTCACGGGTCTTCTAGGGGATGCGCTATAACATCGAATAAAACGTATTTTATCGAAAATCAGCGATAGGACGTCAGTTGCCTAGTGCATATGTTGCTAATAGAGATCACTGATAACACCAGGTCAGGTCACAGGTCAGATCACCAAGGGTCAGCACATGAACCCAATTTTACTAGGGCTGTGTGATGCATGTTTTATGGCCAATGTTTCATTTCAAACTCAATGGTGTTGATTATAAGACTATCAGGAACGTTTTAGGTCACTTTCTGGTGGAGTCAGGTCAATGTCAGGTCAAAAAGGTCAAATTTCAAAGTTGATATTTTTGCATAAAATGGGTATGGATTCGATGCAGCTCGTCAGGGCGAGTCTAATGGTGGTCTTGGTTTTGCGCTACGTGGTCTAGAATTGCTAAAAATTGAGTTTGAAAATTTGACGTAATCAATTTTGAACAGTTTTTCGCTATAGCTTGGCCAAAAAGAGAGGCATCGAGCTAAAATTTGGTATGTGAATAGATGTCGGTAAGGGCTATCACATATATTCAGTTTCTTTTTTCGAAAGACGATTTTTTTATTTTTGGCAATTATATTTCTTTGTTAAATATTTTTTGGGGGCCAAAATTCAAAAAATAAAATTTCGAGATAGTAATTTTGCAGCCCTGGTAATTCTACACCTTTTATGTCTGAGACAATTTTCTGTATCTTCAACGCTATAGGCCTGACAGCTCTTCCCGCGAAACCTTTTTTTTGTTGAAAATGGCAGAACATGACGCCAGTCTGACGTCATTTGCGGCCAACCTATCACAACCTTTGCGAAAAATTGGTCATAATGTGTAAAATTGATGCCCAGGAAGGTACTGAAAGTTTGGTGACGATCGGCGCAGCGGTTCTGAAGATATATCGAAAAGTCTGAAGGGGGCAAAAAATAGCCCCCCCCCCCACCACCACCACCAGGGCGCGTGTTAAAGAGCACCATTCAACATAAGCGCTGACAAGAAAACTGATTGAGATGCATGGCCATTGGCCAATCATCCAAATCGACCCTCCACCAGTATTTGAAGACTACCTCTTAGGCTGAAGTTGCTCAGCCTCAGCCCTCAGGATGCAGACCTGGCTTACCGTGGTCCAGAAGTGCAGGCAGCTGGATTTCGCCAAGACCCACAAAAACTGGACCATTCAGGATTGGGGATGCGTCCTTTTCAGTGACGACTGACGAGGTGCCCTCTGTGCTCGCTAAGTCCCTAACTGCCAGAACGATCGAAATGTGGGCCAACAGCAGATCTGAAGTGTCCGCTGTCGAGACGGTGAAATATCTGCTGAAGAATCTCATTTGGAGCATGATGAGCTACAGAGGCGCTCTGAGCTTCACGAGGTGCCGCGGGGGGGGGGGGACAGATCGTGACTGCTGATTACTATGTCAGCGAGATGCTGAAGAACACTGTACTGTTGCCACAAAAATGCTGAGGAATAGGGTAAATGGTTCAAAAACCAGAGTCAAACCTTTGTCGGACACGTCCAAGGCCATATTCCCAGCAAGAAATGGCTCCAACTTATCACGCCAGGAAGACCCAAGACTGGTGCCAAGCGAGGATCCCAGGCCTCTGGGATAAGGGGACATGGTTTGGCAACAGTCTGGACCTGTGCCCGATCCAAATTATCTGGTCGATGGTCAGAAAAGAGCTCAGCAAGCTTCCACCGGCTAGCTCAGAGAAGAGACTATTTCAGAAGTTATAAACGGCATGGCGTAGTTTTAAAGGAGAAACTCTTGACAACCTGAAACGTGACACGCTTTCCATGACCTGTGACTGTGTGATGCCCTGACAGCTGACCCTGATCTGAAAATCAAAGTACAAGTCTGATATCCTGAGGGTATCTAAAACATCTGTTCATGAGTGTGTAAACCAAAAATGAGCCTGATCTGACTTGTAAGCCGGCGGCCAGATCTTAAATGGGACTTTGCCGGGAACCTTTCTGATCTCATATAGAGTTCACACATGCCTATACCTAAGGTTTTGGTTGTAGCACATGCCAGCATCAAAAAGGAAAACAATTACGCAAGCATTGACTCGCACTAAGGACAAAGCATATGTGTCAGTGTGGACTCAAGACTGGTTAGCTTACTTAAGGCCTGGCTACACTATGCGTTTTCTATGTGCATTTATTTCGTGTTTGTGTGATTTGCGTAATATCGTTCTAGAAGAAAACTATATTTAATAAAACTTTTACATAAGTTATGTATAAAGGTAATGCAATTCTTATGTTAGCTAAAATTGAATAACAAAAAAAATTACAAAAACGTGATATCGTTTTCTACTAGCACGATATCACACAAAACACGCAAACACGCAAAATACGCAGACAGAAAACTCATAGTGTAGCCAGGCCTTTAACACTCGCCGGCCGAGGGGGGGGGGGGCGGGTGCCGCCCCCCCCCCCCATAGGGTTTTTTCGCGATAGCTCCGAACACGCTGGCGATAGAGAGCTGAAACTTGGCATACCTGACCTTTGATCCAAGCCGCATCTTTTGACACCAACCGCATTTTTGGGTCAGGTCAGGTCACTGACCTATGACGTCATAAGTGAACCTCTGCACGGTCTTCAGATGTCGCAACTTCGCAACGCCCTCACTGCCAGAGGAGATGTCACAGGGAAATGAAACTTGCAGGATCTAGTATCCATTATGAGTCCCACAACTTGTATATCTCGGATTTTTCCTAAAGGTCATATGAGGTCAGGTCATTTTCGTGACCTCACCATTATAAGTCAATGGGGAAAAATTCAAACTGCTATTCTGGCGCCGGGAACGATCTCCAACTATCTCAAGCACACAGAATCGTGATTTGATGCACTCCTTGCAAGGTTAGATGCGTCACTTTTGCAATGTTGACCTTGCGTGACGTCATTTATGACGTCATCAAGGTCATATTAGTTTTTCGTCAATAACTCTTGAGCAAATTGAGCTAGCGAGTCGGGAAAGCCACCAATGGACTCAGGAAGACCTGCCGAATCGAATGATATGCGACATGACCCCTTTCGACCAACTTCGTGACCTGGGGGTGCTGACCTGACCTTGACCTGAGGTCAACACCCCAAATTGACCTGACCCGGACAAAAAGTATATCATTCGACGCGCCTGAGCGAGATGAACACGATGCTGCCAAAATCGGCGCTCTGCGGCCGTTTTTTTGCGAAGTTATTCACCAAAAACTGAACCGTACCTTGGGGCACTTGACCTGACCTCAGAGGTCACCGGTTGACCTACAGTGTCCCAAAATTATGTGTTGGCTTGGGTGTCAGAGGGGAATATTCGTCACTACAAAGAGGGCTGAGAGTGGAAATTTGCCAGTCAGAAAGGCACTAAAAAGGGTTGAAAACAGAGATCAACAATTTATTTGTGAATGTTGGAGGATGCGGGAGCTGCCTTATAAGATGATTGAATCAAATATGAAGGGGTGCAAAAGGTACACGCAGATGCTCTTAATTGGTCTAACAGGGAGTGAAAAATCTCTCTGAGAAATTGGACGTGAGAGTGGAAAATTATTTTGATTTGGATGTCGCTTCCCACCCAAAATGGCAGATTTTTGGACACTGTTGACCTAGGACCTTAAAATCGGGTACCAATCTCTGCGTCTCGTAACGGCGCACACGCTCGTTTTTTCCGCGACGCGCTAGCTCCACCAGGGGCGAAACGGCGAGGGGGGGGTCGTACCCGCCCCCCCCCCTCGGCCGGCGCGTATGTAGAAAACCAATAGGTCCGGCGAGGGTTAAAGTGACCATCCCACCTTAACATTAGTTTTAAGTTGAGATAACCAAATTGGGGTCCCTGGCACTTCCCAGTTTGGGCACTCAAGACATTGAGAAACATTGAGCTTTGATTCTGAGATACTTAATTTCAAACTTGCAGTTTCAGATTCGAAGGGGCTAATGCATTTGAACGCCATCTTAGAATTTGTGACGTCAGCGAAGATCCAACAATTTCTAAAAGTTATGCTAAAAAAAACATCAGTAAATCATGGTGATATATACTGCTTTGAGCTTAACATCTGCTGAACTCTAAAGATGCCAAATTATTTCTTCCAAATTGAAATGACCTAAGAACAGCGCAAGCAGAGGTCTAAAAAAGTAAGCAAAAGTAAGTCTAATCTTGAAAACCGGTGAATATTTTTCAGTGAAAGTTGGAAGCTACTCATTAAGTTAATTTTAATCTGTCTAAACCACGGGAAATGGTAACAGTAAGGAAATGTTATTTATATACTGTCGGTGAGACAACTAATGATGCAGATGCGACGTATGTGGCGTGAGGGGACGGCATCTTTATTTGAAGTATTATCTTTCCTAGACCAAGAGAGATGTGAAAAAATGATAAATCCCGCGAATATTCATTAATATAAAGCACTTACATGAAAAATTCAAACCTCGGTTGGCCTGCGACAGTCAAAATAAAAAGCAGCAATTCCACTCTCACCCCTCTCACCGCCGTGATCTCTGTTCAAGAAATTGTACTATAGATGGCCTTGAATTGTACCAGGCCCATGTCACTCCACTTTTGATGACATCATAAGGGGGTCTCAGGACAATTAATGGCGCGGTGCGCCACAATCGCTCCCAAGCTACTGGCCAACAACTGCCATTTTTGAAAATATTATTTTGAAATAAAGTTCCAAGTAATGAAAATATTGTAATAAAGTTGTAACTTAAATCTATAGCATATCTAAAAACTTACTTAAAAAATGAATTATCCATAGTAAAAATATAAGCTCGATGCGTTTTTACGTTGCTTTCCTGCTGCTGCAGAGGGTTTTTAAATCGTCTATATCTTCAAAACCGGCCATTTCTTAGCATATTGCTGCTCTTTTTTGTCGCTGGAAAATTAGTTGGGCTTTCCATTGACATCAACGGCTGAGCGGTATGTGTAGAGTGCCATCAATAATCTTCAATCATTTTTACGTTGCAAAGGAATGGAGTACCCCTTGCGAGCATCAGGGGTGACGTCACTCAGGATCTGTCTCTGATTGGTCGGCGGGGGAGTGACTGTACCTTCTATAGATGGCCTTGAATTGTACCGTAAGCAGCTCCCACGAGCTAGCGAAAAGTGACCAATCAGCGTGCGCGGCATCTAACTGTGATTCGTCCTGCAGTCGTGACGTTCCCGGTAAGGATTAGCCCCATAATTAGCCTTATCTATGACCAAGATTCTTACAGTCTATGACGGATGACCGTGTAATTAGCCCATGATTAGCCCTAATATGCATGTCAGTCATGACAGTCCATAGCTCAGCTTCAGTCCATAGCCCAGCTTCAGCCCGGATTCAGCCCAGACACTGGCGGGCGCAGCCGCTAGCAAAAGGGGGGGCCAAAGTCACACTCGCGGGACATACCATGACTTGTATCCGTCACCGGGAGGGGGGGGGGGGGGTGATCGGCTAATTTTTTACGTCCACGAGGCGCCGCACAGTTGGCATTACTCTGCTTCATCCATCTCATTCTTGCGTGAAATCTTTGAGCTCAATTTAAGGCAAAATCACCACTTCCATTTACCGTCTCACGGTGTGCCCACCGGTCGGGCCGCTGCACCATGACGACGGATCGGTGTAGCAGTATACTGGAAGGTCAGGCACGCGGATTCATGACCTTACCACTATAAAACAATTCGGAAAAGTACAGATACCTCTTGCTAAAAAGTGCAGATACCTCTTGCTTTGAACAAGCATGTGAAACCCAGAGAGCATTTTTAGACTATGACATTTAACCATATAGGTACCTAGTTGTGTGGCGGCGGGAGAGAGTAGGTACACCGACCTCTGGAGACCCCCACAGGTTCCGAGCTTTCAGAATTGGCATCTGAGGGCCGCGCGCGACTCCTGCGGGGCTTCGCAACGGCTCTGTTGGGGCTCACTCAACCTGCCTAGTCCTACTGCTAAAAGACTGGCCCTGAGCCCTAAGGACTTCATCAGTCTCTGCCAGCCCAGGACCCACACCGGCTCATGGGGTCCCGACGTCGAAATATGAGGGAATCAGCGCGGGACCATCAGGACGTAAAGCAATCTCGATCAGGACCAACGTAAGGCGGTGCCGGAGACTGCGTGAGCCCTCTGATCTTCAGAAACCCACCCATGTAGGGGAGAGTGGGGTGGGTTGTATCAGTTTTTACTCCGAGACCCATAACCTCGTAACTATCCGTGATAAACTCATTATTTCCATACTATCCCCTTCCTTGATTCTTCTGCTTTTTTGTGCAAAGTAACTTTTTCGCTACCTCTACCAGTTTTTCTCCTACGGTCTGCCGAATAGACCAATGTTTTTGATACAACTTGCCCCATGGCTTGGGTGAGTTGTATCACATGGTGGGGTAATTTGTATCACTATTTCACGTTTCAGGGAGTGTGCTTGCTACTGGTTTTGAACATAACAGCAACATTAAATGGGGTTAATACAATGTATAGGTATGCTCAAAGGCTTCACTTTATTAGACCAAACTAAGGTAAATGCAATCCGAACGAAACATCAACAGACCAGGCGCAAAAGTGGCCCGTTAAGAGCAAAAAAGCCAACACATTGTGCCGAAATGAAACGAGCATTGACTAGCTCGTTTAAAAAAGTTTAGCTCCTACAAACGCGAGCCAGGGCTTAGCTTTCGCGATCAAAAGCAACATACCCATACATACATACATACATACATGTTACAACATACCCCACCCGGCTCTGATACAACATGTACCTAGCCGCCATCTTGGAAAAACATCCTCGTGCTAAAAAAAACAGCGGACAGCTGGATAAATCCGTTTTCACTCACGCAGCCTTAGAACCTACCCTCACCACTGCTACGGAGATCTTTCAAATTCGTGCACATCTAAATGCCCAAAACACACATTTTCTTGCAACTTATTTTTTTAGAATGACATTAAAAAAACAAAATCGGCTCTCACCTCGAGACGCGTCCACTCAGCCACAAGACAGAACGGGAAAAGATGGCGCCCGGAAAACCTCGTCGGCTGGTCGTGTCGCGAGCGCCATCCATTGGATAAGTTTGGCACAATTCGCCCTGATACAACTTGGACATGATACAACTCTCCCCGCTCTCCCCTATGTTTTCATGTAGAGGCCAGTTTAGGGCCCTCAGAGACCAGTACAGGGCCTGCAAACTACAAAGGCCAGTAGTTTGAGACCATCAGAGACCGAGTTGGGCTCTCAGAGGCTAATGTTGGTCCTTACTCATTACAGGCCAACATGGGCCCTCAGAGGTCAGCGTGGGGCCCTAAAAGACCGGCATGAGCCGTCGTTGGACCCAAGAGGCCAGCAGAGGGCCCTCAAAGGCCAAGATGGGCCCTCCTCAGAGGCCAATGCAGACCCTTAGAGGCCCGCATCGGGTCTTCAGCAGCCATTGCGGGCCCTTATTGGCACCTAAAGGTTCGTCTTGGGACACCAGAGACAGAAATAAGGCCACCAGAGACCGGTGTGAGACCCTCAGACGCCGGTTGGGACCCCTGAGGCCGGTTAGGGGCCCTCATAGGCCAGATGTGGGGCTTCAGAGGTTGATGTAGACTCTTAGCGGTCAACGTGGGCGCTTGACCGCCACTGAAGTTCCCTCAGAGGTCAGTGTAGGACGCTCAAAGACCGGTGTGGGAGCTATATTAATAGCTTGGCGTGGTTTTTTAAGCCTCGTGACGATCGAATAATTGCCAGGGCCCCATACACCTACAGGGTGTCCCATAAGTTCGTTCTCACATTATGTTTGTTCATACTCGCGGTTCGAGTTCAGCTTGAGGGCTGAAACTCCTCCTAGATTTTCTTGGAAAAGCATTATGCTTCCCAAAGCTGTTTCTGGGACACCAATCGCAACTTGGTCAGCGTCTGGACGCCTATAACCCCACAATACCGTGATCTTGGCCTTTCGCATAGGAACATAACGGGACGAAACGGAGGCCTCCTCCTTCGCCCTTATGGGGTTGTTTTCGGGTTTGGACGGGTGTTTAATCTCGAACGTGGACTAGTTAGTCCAGATGACCTGGTTGATGTCCTCAGCCCTTTAGTTTTTTAGCTTCAGGCATAACGAAACTCATGTTTGGCCATTTTAAGACGTTTTTGACTGTTTTGAGCCCTCCGGTAAGCAAAGCTTAAGTCACCTTGAGTTATGTACCCCGTAAGAACAATTTTAGACAGCTGGTAATCCATCCTGAAAAGTCTGCTTACCAACTTTCTAGCCCTTTGACCTTTTTGATGGCCACTTTGGCGCCACACAGTTTTGGCCACATGGCTCACTCCTGAGAGCTGACAAAAAAGAGGATAAACTTGCAATGATTGACTCCCGACAAATCATCGGTGTCACTTGCTGACTGTGCGTCCAGTTAGCGATGGACATTGTCTACAGACTGGTAGGCCTCAATCACCCTCAATCGTCGCGAATGGTCACGTGCTGACTAAATACCGAGACGTACCCGTATTGGAGACCTCTATGTTGCGGCGTTAGCCGTCTGTGTAGGAAACGGGCTCTCTAGCAAAAACTATTTTGTCTACAGAAATTAGTTACTGTGGAGCATATTTCTACCAGCCATGGCAACCACGTAAGCTCAGTAGCGAACCAATTTCAGTGTGCCTTTAAGCAAGAGAGCCTAAAAACGTAAAATTTAGGTGAGAACGAACTTATGGGACACCCTGTATATGGTGGCCCATTGGTTGTTTGAGGGGGGGGGGGGGGTCAAATGATATGATGGCCCCCTTTATTGACCTTTGAGGGCATGGCCCTGATGCCCCCCCCCCGGCCCCCCCCGCGAGTCGCGACCGCCACTGTGTACACATTACACACATGCCTCTGAGATTACATACTAGCTCATGCAAACTCTATGCAGGCCCCGAAGGTCCCACGCTAATCCTTAAGAAACCAAGCCGGCATACGGCATCACCACCGGGCTTCTGAGGTGCACAGCACCAACCCATGAGGTCTTACTTTAGTGTCTTGGAGCCAATCTCCTTTAGCAGGGCCCACCCGCCACTGCCGAAGAGGGTCGCATGCCAGCCATTGCTGAATGCTGGGCCTACGAGAGCCTTAAAGGGACGCTCCCACCTTAACATTAGATTTGAGTTGAGATAGCCAAAATGGGGTCCCTGGCTCACAATTACCGGTTTCGACACTCACAACATCGAGAAATGCCTTAAATCGGAAATATTGAATTTCAAAATTGCAGCATTTTGATTCAGAGGGGCTAATGCTTAGGAATACCCCTCTGAATGTGTGACGTCAGCGCCAATATCTAACGATTTTTAAATGTTTGACTAAAACGTTTTGTAGCACGCGGTGGTATATGCTATTTGCGCGCAACATCTGCCGCAAACGCCGCACTTCTAAAATAAAGTCGCTAGAAACAGCGGAGATCCCAAAAAAGTAAACAAAAGTAAAAGTCTAATATCTTGAAAACCGGTGAATATTTTTCAGTGAAATTTGGTAGATATTCGTTTTCGCTCTTTCTGAACCGAGCGACATCACTTTCATGCCAATTCATAAACTTTTTTGAA